GCCCCCCCCCCCCCCGCCGCGCCCCCCCCCCCCGCCCCCCCCCCCCCCCCCCCCCAACTCCATGCGAAGGATGGTTGACCGAGTCGGTCCAGCTTTGGATGACGTGGCACGACCACTTTCGCTTGTTCTTCACCGCACTCATCGATCATGGATCTCTTATTTCCCTAGGAAAACCTCTCAGCACACTCTTCCCTATACGTCTCGAGTTGTTCCATCTTCGTCTTCACGAACGCCTCCATTTCCACACGCGTCTCATTGTCAAGTAGCTCTTCTTCAGTACCATCTTCGTGTAGCGTGTTCCAATAGACAGCATCGATGTCCATGCTCTTTCTGGCGGCGTAGTTGAACCAGAAGCGCCCGCTTTCCCACGAATCACGCATTCGGGCGGAAAGATGTGGCTCCTCCAACCGCTTGTGGGCTAATGTCCGCTTCGCTTCCACTCGCTCCAAGGCCTGGAGAAACTGTTCCATCCTAGGCTTGTAAAGAGATACGAAATCGGCCATACTGTAGCGTTCAAGCCACATATCTGGTCCCAGCAAAACTAGCCACCATGGAGGGTCGTATGTGAATTGGGCCGGCATGACATTTGTGAACTCGAAATCGAGTACAGCCGTAATGCGCAGAGTATGTGGATCGACAAGCATATTAGAGGGTTGCAAATCGTCGCAAAAGACTTTGAACGGGCCAGTATCGTCAATGCAGTGCTTTGGGATAAGCTCTCTGAAGCGGTGACGGGCGATAAACTTCTTCCGCGCATCTTCTGCGTCGTCGGCAATGTTCCGCTGGGTCTGAAGGTGGATGATGTGCTGGTTTGCAAGTGACCCAAAGTAGTCGCTTGCATGATCAAATGGCCCAGTGGGAAATTGATCAGCAGGGTAACCTGTAGCGGTTGCCAACTCGTTCATGTTGTAGGTCAAAGGTCTTCCAGTAACAGACCATGCGTTTGAAGCGCTGTCCTTGGAGATTGATCCAATGGAGGGAAAATCAATCTGAGAGAGCTGGAGCAAATAGTCGGCAAGTTGATCGTAGATGGTGTCGAGTGTTGTTGTATCGATATTTGGGTCAAGAATCACATCTTCTTGATCGTCCTTGGTTGATCGTCCTTGGTTGGTTGCTTCAATATGGTCGATAGTCGAGTTCCAGCGACAAAGTCCATGACGATGAATGGCCCTAGCTTTTGCGGGCTGTCCTCTGTGAGACCCCAATGGTGCACTCGAGGGACAGGAATGGTTGTGTGCTGGCTGAGGTACTCCATAAACCGCACCTCGTTGGCCGTCTTTTCGGCCCTCCATGTCGTATGCCCCGGTTTTGCGAACCGGATGAGGGCGCTCTGTCGTCCATGGCCAAATCTGACGTGGAGACACAGGTTGAAGGAGCCCTTCAAGTAACCGTCAAACTCTCCGGTTCCACCCCCGTCCAAGTGATGATCAACAAAGGCGACGATTTCATCCTTGGCATCGATGACCTTGCGTAGCCAAGCCCGGCATTCATCGTCGCCGTTTGCCTCGGCAATTCTGTCGAAGCCCGTCATGCTCACGGAGCATTTGGGAAAGTGGCTAAGTGGTAGATTGGGGGTGTTTTGTTAAAGCTGGACTCGTACACCGCCCTCTGTCAGTATTGTGGACGAGGAGCTGTCACGGGCTGATCCATGTCTCGAAATCCTCAAATCAGCTTCGGCATAGGCACAGTACCCCTGGGCAGGGCACCTGGCCAATAATATCGGAGACTGCTAGCTTGAAGATTCCTTGTGGCTGTTGTGCTGTGGCTGAAGATGGCGTTTATGATTTTCCCATTTCAACAACTGCCGTGTGTTCCAGGCTATCCACACCTGAATACTCCATGCTAGGACGAACGATGGCGGAATGGGTTGGTTTCCTTAAGTCCGTCGTCCAGTCTACAAATAAAATAGATAACCCGGGGGGGAGGGAGCCTTAAGGGCCTCTTGTCATCGGGTTCTCTCATCTTCCAATTCCAATACAAAACGTTCATTTACTCGGTCTTCGCCCCCGTCCCTCCTTCTTGTAACCAATATCCCGTACGTCTAGTTCAATTGACCCCTCCGTCCCGTCCAAATGCCGCGCCAATCGCCGACCCCCCTCGTGTTCGGCACCACGTCGGTGCACAGCAAAGGCTCCTTCAAGACTCCCGAAGCCATTGCCTCGCTCTTCTCGGTCCTCCGCCAATCGGGCATCACCACCATCGACACGGCCCAGCTGTACGGCGACAGCGAGGCCACCCTCGGCGGCGCGGGGGTCGCCGCCCAAGGGTTCACCCTCGACACCAAGGCCCCCGGCGGCTTCATCCCGGGGTCGTTTGAGCCGACCAAGCTCGCGGCCGACGCCCACCGCAGCGTCAAACTTCTGGGGGTCGACAAGCTCGACGTCTTCTACCTGCACGGGCCCGACCCGGCGTACCCGCTCGAGCAGACCCTCTCGGTCGCCAACTCGCTGCACGCCGAGGGCCTGTTCGCGCGCCTCGGCATGAGCAACTTCTCCGCCGCCGAGGTCGAGGCCGCGCACGACATCTGCGCCGCGAAGGGCTGGGTGCGCCCAACCGTCTTCCAGGGCAACTACAGCGCCTTCGCGCGCCGCGCCGAGGCCGAGCTGCTGCCCACGCTGCGCCGCCTCGGCATCGCCCTGTACGCCTACTCGCCCCTCGCCGGCGGCTTCCTGGCCCGCCGCAACGCCGACGAGCTGTTCGGCGAGGCCGGCGGCCGGTTCGCCCGCGCCGGCGGCAGGAGCCTGCCGCTGTACCAGGGCCTGTACAGCGAGAAGCCCAAGCTCGTGGCCGCGCTGCAGGCGTGGGCGCGCATCGCAGACGAGTCCGGCTGCGAGTCCCCCGCCGAGCTGGGCTACCGGTGGATCGCGTGGAACAGCGCCCTCGACCCGGAGCTGGGCGACAAGGTCACCATTGGGGCCAGCCGGGTCGAGCAGGTGTCCCAGGTTGTGGGCTGGCTTGCCAAGGGGCCTATGAGTGAGGATGTTGTCAAGGCGATTGACGCGCTGTGGGAGGATATCAAGGATGAGTCGCCGTTGGACAACTGGCACAAGTGAGCTGTCCTTCCGATATAGTTGGGAAGGTTTGTTGAGGCGGGAACAAAGCTTTTTGTTTTTTGGTTAGGGGGCTTGATGATCACATCAACATGGAAAGACTTGACAGGCGCCCTTTATTAGGTATATTCACCGGGAATCCTCCTTCAGTAGAAATCTTTCCTCAACTACTGCGATAGGGATAAGGGCCAGGGCCTATTCACTAGCATACCCGAAGCAAGTGAAGTGAAAGTGATGGAAGACAGCGATAAGGCAATCTACCTATCTATATATACATCTGTATCTAGACGCGTCTTCCGACGTGCAACCATGCCGGGATTCTACCACCCTTCCTCTACAAATTATTCTCTACGCGTGAGGAGATTTTAACGACCAAAGTTATCATATCCCTCCTGTCTGCTCGTCATCCAGCATCATCACGATCATCATCACGATCAATGTCACTTACGTTGAAATCATAGCTACAACAAAAATGGCCGATTTCAATGACTTGCCTACTGAGGTCGAGGACGTCCTCTGGCAACTTGCCCTCCCCTCGCCACGGGCACACTCGGTCGAGCTGCGCTCCATTTTCCACCAGGAGATGAGCCTTCAGGGCCCGGGGGACCCAAATTGCCACATGGCAGAGAGAATCTGGCGAACCCTGCATGTCGTCCTCCCCTCTGTGCCTACCAAGACGCCCGCCGCGCTGACCGTCACCCCCGAAGTCCTCCACCAAGAGATGACTCAGTTGGAGTTGGGCACCAACTTCCTCGACACCACCAACGACAACAACGGCAGCACCTCCACGACCAAAGATAAGGAGCCAGCCAAACCAACGGCGCCGACCAACAACCGCCCCCCCACTTCATCCCCGTCACTTACCGCAACGACGACCTCTACATCTTCAACTGGGTGTCTTCGAACCCACACCGCGGCCCCGGCGCCGCCGTCCTCCCCCTTTTCTGGGACCCCAACCGGCTCGTCCTAGACCCATCCCGGCTCCGCCACATCGCCATGATCTACCCAGAGCAGTGGTCCACGATCCCCGACCTGGTTACCGACACTGTCACCATCCCGTGCCACTGGTGCGGCCGTTTCCACAGCATGGTCTACATCCCCTGGGAATTCCCCCACCGCGGCCAACCCATCCCCACCGCGCGCATCGGCGCCGGCGTCCTCGACCCGCCCATGCGCGAGTGCTGCCTGTCCCGCTGGGTTCTGCAGCGCTTCGCCGGCATGGAGTGCTTCTACTTCGTCGTCGCCGGCCTGCCCCGCCCGTCCGCCGCCCAGGTCGCCGACCCGTCCGCCCGCATCCGCATCCGCGTTCCCCGGGTCAGTTACCACAACAACACCATGATCATGAACAATGTCGGCGCCGCCACCGAGGAGGAGGTGGTGGAGCCGCTGCGCGTCCTCCACAGCGCCAACCGCGTCTACTACGAGGTCGTCATGGGCGAGGATGCCGGCCCCGAGGTCCGCCGGGCACGCATGCTGCTGGAGTATCTGTGCTACACCTTTGCCACCGCCCCCATGCTGGCGGGCAATGATTTTGTTGGTGTCAAGTTCAAGATCCTGTCTTTCGAGGACGAGGAGTAAAAGGACATGCCCACGCTCACAACTTTTCTTGTTCATACCGTCTTCTGGGAGGGATTGTAAAATAGAAATGGCTGGCTCACGCACACCTTGTTGCGTTTCCGGAGAGTGCCCCTCGTCGGCCCTTAGCTGTTTACACCACCTCTTGCTGTTTTCCTCAGGTTTATTGGGCACTATTCAGGGCTTGCATAGGAGGGCCATTAGACTTAGTTTAGACATGTAGGTAGGGCTCTGCTCTTCAGTCTGGCGAAGCCCAAAAAGGCTGAAACTTGCTTATCGCCAGCCACCGGATTATTAGAAACAGGACATTAGATTCTCGACTGCCCGCCCCTGTGCTTTACTGACTTTCTTCACAACCGTCTCTGATGCCCAGCCATTGACTGAGCCATGACCTCCGACCTTGCGTATTACTGCCTAGACAACCAAATCAGCACCTTCTTCCGAGCCCACAATTCCGTAACACGGGAACAATGCGATAAATACGCCGCCTCCATCGCCGGCGAACCCGTCACGCCCAAGGCACGTGGAGCTACACCGAAACAGCAGGGCCGAAGCGGTCATCCATCGTCCAATTCCGGGTCCCCTCATCAGCCCTAGACATGGATCTCTTGACGCTTGCGCGAGCTACCCATGGGATAATCGTGCCGAACTGCGTCTGCCACGGAACCATTGGCCAGCCAATGCCGCTGCCCGTGTACGTCATGGACAAGCTTCCTGGAGTGCCCTATATCCAAGTACAGCCATCTCCCGTCCCCGGCAGGCCCATGTCTCCCGCAGCAGCGTCCCGCGTCATCAACACTGTGACCGACTTTGCAAGGTTGCTCCTAGTCTCTCCCATGGCCCCTTTTCTACCATGCTAAGACTGATAGATACTCAGATTCTTCGCTTCCTCATGGTTGAATCCGCAGGCAATGGAAGCATCTGCCACCAAAGCCCTCCTCACCGAATACCAACGGAGGATCACCCTTCTATCCAAAACCCTACCCTCCCGCTTCGCCAAGAAGCTAAGCTCTGTCAGCGCAGACCTCCCCTTGTTCTTTACAGCACCGTATCCCCTCGTCGTCAGCCACGCCGACCTCTGCGAGACAAACATCCTCGCCGATCCTCTTACCGGCCACATCACAGGCATCATCGACTGGGAGGATGCCCGCATCCTCCCCTTCGAATTTTCGCTCTGGGGATTCGAGAACGTTCTCGGACACATGGACTCCGGGGGCTGGCATTACTACGACAACCGCGAGTCCCTCGTCGGCTTGTTCTGGCAGACCTTCGACCGTGAGATCGGATCGGCCTCGGATAGGCGCGCGGTCATCGCGGGGGCCAGGACGGCTGGGATATTCTGCCGATACGGTTTCGACTGGGAGAAGGGTCCGTGGGTGCCGGTGGACGAGTCGAGCTATTCGATGCGATATCTCGATGCGTTTTTCGACACGTCGCTCTAGGTGATGCTGCCCAACGTCGTGACAGAAACCCACTGGATCGACGGTTTGCTGGACAAGTAGAGAATAATGTCATTTACCCGTAAGTGCCGGCTATAAAGTGTTCGCAAAAGAATAGTGATGTTGTTGCTTCTTCCCCCGCCTCATTTATCCCTAAGCTGCACGAAGAGCATTGTACTCAGAACTACAAATTGTATTTCGCTCGTAGAATTATGGCCCCGTGTTCAGGTAGGACAATGAACTACCTCAGCACCTCCCCTTGATATCAATCGTGCCATCGCTGTAATACCCAACTCCCACACCATGCGTTACTTGGCCCCATCTCAGAGAGCAACTAGGTATGTTCATGCTGCCGTCGGCTTGGGAGTCTCATACGTAGTCGACCACGTCGCCTCGTAGCTCGACGTAGCCACGACCACGGGCTGGTTCCCGTTAAAGGTCGCCGAGGTCACCACAGACCTCTGGATCCAGCTGTTCCACCTCGGCGCCGTCGTCGGGCCCTCGACGGGGCCGACCTCGACGTTGGTTGTGTCGGCCCAAGCCCCCGACCACACTGTGGGGCCTAGAGGAGAGACAGGTCAGCATCTTCATCGGAGCCCACGGGCCAAGATCATGGGTCCTCCCCCTTACCTGGGATCTCGTAAGTCGTAGTGCATGGTACCGTCGTCGTCGTCTTCGTAGAGCAGTAGACCTATCGAACGCAAACTGGTAAGCCAAACTTGTCCCCCGGGAGAATCAGCCGAATCACCCATGCCCACTTACGTCATACACAACACCGGGGTCGGAATACTTGTACGCTCCAGGGAACGAAACCCCAGACGGGAGCTCCACCGTCCCGTTGCCGAGGACCTCGATCTGGACGCAGTTGGGGTAGAACTGAGCGCCGCGCATGGGGTTATCCAGCCACGACGCGTCGGCCTCGTGAAGCCCTACCATCTCCGCACGGATGAGATAGCTAGAAAGCCACCACGGTCAGCAACCACCCAACACCATCCTCCTCGGAGGTCCGGCCACAGATCAAACTCACTGCCCCGCCTTCAGCTCAGCCGGGATCCGCACATTCATGCGCCCGAGGTTGGCCTTGACGTCCTGCGTCGTTGCCCACTTGCCCGGGGCCAGCGGCTCGGCGCCCTCCTCGTATTTGCCCTCGTGCCAGATCTTGACAAACGTGTTCTCGCCCGGTGGGTCGGGCGACAGGTACACCATTGCCGGGCCTGGTGAGCGCGGCGGTGGTCAGCATGAATCCCATCCCGACTTGTGCAGTTTCCTTTTTGCCTCTTTCCCTGCGTTGCCTGTTCAGGGGGGTTCAAGAACTTACCAACGTGCGACTTGTCGATGACGTCGTCTGTTGCCGTCCGGGAGTCATGGTGCCTGCAGTAATGGGGGAGTGGGTTAGCCATACTTCTGGCGTTGCGGGAGGTTATGCCACTGGACGTGGTCCGATATTTTCATGAGAAAAAGAGTAAACATGAGCGGATATTGAGTCCTCTCTTCACCGATTCACTACAAGGCGAGGAAGCAAAGAAAATATTTGATACGGGGCTCAAAAGAAAAGCGGTATATGATCTGATAGGAAAGCATCGCATCAAGATTCCGTACCAGTCAAAGGTCAGGTTATCACCCGGCTGGACCTGGATCGTGTCTGGCACTTGATGGTCGCCTAGGACGTTGCAGCGCATGTCAATCGAGTCCAGGTCCTTGACGGGCGAGTTTGCGTATCCGCTCGGCGGTGCGCCGTTATAGGCTGGTGTGCGAATACCGCGGAAGGAGCTCTGATCGACGCCATTGACGAAGACACCCTGTGCAAGACCGAAGAGGGGTGGTCAGTGGATGAATCACTTTTTTGGTTCTTGGTTGACTCGTGAATAGGTGACGGGACAAACGGGATACTTACCCAGATGTAGCAGTGCGCGCTGGCAAGTTTGACGTTGAGGGCTGCTGCTACGGCAGCTCCGAGGAGAGTCGAAGTCTTCATTTTTCCTTCTCGTGGCTATGCAGATACCGTGAATGCGCAACGTTCAGAGGACCAGTCGCAGCTGGCGGTATCATCACTACTTATTTAGCTGGACCGGGTTGTCAGCCACCGACTTAGCGGCACCAGAGTAGCAATCATGGTTCTCGGGACCTGGTTTCCAAGACGGAGACTCCTCGGCCCTGTAGCTTTTAATCAAGGCATAGGCCAAGATTCCCCAATGGGCTGTATGGGATGACGGTTGCGTTAGCCGGAACGCGCCTGGGGATAAATTGCAATTTAATCACCCGCAGATTCATTAACTCGGCGTTCCACCGGCACGCATCGGCACCTCATGTTCCGCTTCGCCTATCTCCATTACTGAGATCAGCATGTTGTCCAAGGAATGCTGAGAGATTGCGACCTCGAATAAGAGCGCGGCCGTGAGTCGAGCCCCACAAGCACCGATGACAAGGAAAGGCACGTTCGGAGATTTTGGGCAACTGCGCCGGTTGTTACCCCCCCCCTTAGGCCCGGATGCTGGGTCTGATGACTCCACACCTCCGAATGTCACCGGGGAAGGTGCCGGACAATGGCCAGGAGGTGGTCCAGTCGTATCTTCCATACATTTATTCTGTGCCAACCAGACTCAGGTTGCCTCTATTAGGTGGTTTTCATGCTCCCGTCTAGAAGGATCCGATATCCGAGGGGCGTCCCCGCCGACAACCGTGCTTATCAATCAACTTTTGCATATGTCTCCGAGACGCTGTGCAAATCGCTGGCATGAATGATGCAAGCAACCCAACCATAATAACTGAGATACCTATTTAGTACGGCACATACCTGATATAAAGGTGGCTACGCCCCAGAATTTGACGAGCATTCCGACCGACCCGATCAAGCACACAGCCGGCTCAAACTAAATACAGTACGAACAGCTCAATCAAACCACAACCATCACAAAAGTTACGATGGGTTCCGAAGACAAGATCATCCTCTACACCAACCACCGCTGCCCTTGTAAGCATCACCTTTTACCCTCCTCTTCCCCACCCTGTGAGCCACGCATGCTAAAACCTGCAGGGGCACACCGTGCGCACATCACCCTCGCAGAGCTCAACCTCCCATTCGAGGAGGTCATCATCGACCTCGATGTGCCTCGCACGGCCGAGTACCTAGCCGTCAACCCGCGCGGCCTGGTGCCCTCCATCTCCTTCAACGGCGAGATCATCACCGAGTCCGCCATCGTCGCGCAGTTCCTCGTCGACTCGCGCCCGAACCATCTGGTCCCGCAGACGGGCAACGCCGAGGCCGCCCTCCGCCGCGCCCGCATCGCCTTCTTCGTCGACGCCTTCATCTCCGGCTCCACCAAGCACCTGTTCAAGATCGCCGCCGCCAAGACCGACGCCGAGGCCGAGGAGCCCGCCCGGGAGGCACTGCAGCAGCTCGTCAAGGAGGTGGAGCCCCTGCTCGCCGACGCGAAGCCCTTCTTCGGCGGCAGCGACAAGCTCACCTTTGCCGAGGTGAGTTTCGAATTCCTTTCTATTTGGTCGGTCCCAAATGTTGGGATGACATCGTACTGACTTCCCGGCAGGTCCTAACCGCCCCATTCGCCATTCGTCTCTTGACGCTGTCTAAGGCCGGTGTCTATCCCAAGATCCTCGCCGAGCAGCTCCCCGAGAAGGCGCCCAACTTCACCAAGTGGGCCGAGAAGCTGTCCAGTCACCAAAGCGTGGTCAACATCTACCGCGAGGAGGATATCATTAGGACGGCAAAGGCGAGGATTGCGAAGCTCAGGGCTGCTTAAATGATGCTGCGCAAGTGGGAAACTCCAGCCCTTCTTTTCTTTTATAGTAACTCGGCAGAACCGAGGAAATTGAAGAAACGTGGCCCTATGAATTCCTACGCAGCGGACACTCGTTTCGAGGTGATATGACATGACAGGACTGGCGACTTGGTGTCTCTATTTATTCAAACCCAGCTTCTCTTGCGAACAAGGCAGTCGAGAATGAAAATACGTTGGCTTGCAATCACTAGCAGGCTTTATTAGAAATGAGGGTATAACCCATGCGAAAAAGGTGCAGCAAATGACGGATAGCCCAGAGTCTCGCCCTAGATACCCTCAACCTGAAGCTTCTCGGACGGAGAGTTCGTAATTAAAGTAGACCAACGGAGACAATTTCCCCCTACATTACATTCCGATCATTCCGTTTCTTCATAGACTTTTATCTTGGGGTTGACGAGGGAATACACCTCAATGCCCTTCAACTCCCCGTCTGTAATAAACACTCGGTAGCCCTTGATGCATTAGGTGCTCGTCCTCACACTTCTGGGCGCTCCATATGATAGTTCTCGACCTGCCCTCTTCCTTGCAGTAGCATGTAACGGGATTATCAGTGCCTCTCTAGGAAACACTGTTATCCTTGTCAGCGAAACAACTTCATTACTGTCGGTATATAGACTGTTTCAATTCTCCAGAGCTTTGTCGTCAGGTTCCAGCATTGGGTCCAAATATCTAATACTCCCTTAATATAGTTAATAACCTATCAATTTGATGTAGTCAAGATTTTCCCTATCTAAAGAGGCAGAGGGCTAGATCGTGGTTCCATCTCCTGGTTTTCCCAGGGTTTCACACGTGCGCGACTTGCTAAAATACGTCATGGCCAAGCTCCCCAGAACCAATGTGCCTCAGGCCAAAGGCGCATTGAGCCGAGGCCCGCATCGGCCAACCAACTTCACGTCACAGGGGGGTTACATATCCTGGGGACGACAACCGCGCATCCGTCTCCCCATCTTCAACCAGATGCCACCACCCACTTCAGGCGGCCGATAATCGCCATGGCCGTACAACTAGATCCTCCCGATAAATCCTCATGGTCGCTCCGTAATGTCGCCTCTTTACCTCCAAAATGGCTGCACAAGTATGAAGACTTCGTCACCAAGAATGCCAGCCAGGTGTCGCAGATTGAATCGACCCTGCGCTCACTGACCTACATCATCCCCGGTATGCAGTCCAACCGATGAATTCTTCAGCCGAGCCAGCTAGCTGACCTCGTTCTCCACTAAAAAACAGGCCGATTCCGCGACGCCGAGATCGCATCCGAGTCGATCCACTCGGGCGTCCAGCTTCTCTCACTCTACCACGACACGCTCCTCCTCCGGGCCTCCGCCAGCCTCTCCAAGTCGCCCTCGCCCGCCCCCGCGCGGGCCGCGCCCTCGGTGCACGGGCGGTACACGCGGTTCTGGGCGCTCAAGAGCGGCGCGTACCGGCGCGTCGCCTACCTGCTGCAGGTGGTACAGTACACGGAGCTGCTGTGCGAGATGGCGGCCAAGCGCCGCGGCGAGCGCGCCCGCTGGCGCGTCGTCATCCTGCTCGAGGCCGTCAAGGCCCTCTGCCGCCTGCTGCTGCTGCGCATCACCCGCTCCCGCCCCCTGGTCTCGCCGCCGCTGCCCGAGAGGGAGCCCATCCCCGAGCCCGCCGAGGACGACGAGGACTCGAGAGCCGCGCTGGCGGAGCTGATGGGGGAGGAGACGAGGGAGGAGGAGGACGATTCACTAGCCGCATCCTCGACCACAGACCACCTCGGCAAGACAGCAGCACCGCCAAACGGCCGGCCAGTCAACCCCAACACCCAGGCACACACCCACACCCGGGAATGGCACATGCCCCGCACGGGCATGTCGCTGCCCTCGCTCCCCGACGCGGGCGACATCTCGTCGTACCTCCTCGCCCGCGTCCTCGCCGCCGACGACGTCAAGCCCGCGACGCGCCTCCTGAACCGCCTGCGCGGGCCCTCGGCCCACGCCGCCGAGGTCCTGCACATCCTCGCCCCGCTGGCCTTTGCCGCCGCGCTAGCCCGCAGCAACAGCAACGGCAACAGCAGCAGAACAAACGGCAGCAAAAAAAATAACTGGTACCCCTGGCTCCTCGGCTTCGGCCTCGAGCTGGCGGCTCGCCAGCTGCGGGACCAGCAGGGCCTGCGCACGACGGCGCTGGAGAGGGACGAGTGGGGCCGGAGGGGCAGGGCGATGCTGTGGTGGGCGATGAGGGGACCCGCGTACGAGATGTTTGTCAAGGGCGCCGTCGGCGGTGTGAAGAGGAGGGTCCCCGGCCTGGTGGCGGGCATCCTCGAGGACTACGAGTACCTCTGGGAGAACTACTACTTCAGCACGAGTCCGTGATGGTGAGGTTGGCTAGGACGTGTGCTGTGCTTGGCGATGGTTGGCTTTGGGCCGCGATGTATTATTATACCACCGTACCACCCCCGTGGATGTTTGAGTGAGTGCTGTGTCTCTGGGCTTATGTATGGGCCACTGGACTGAAATATAACGAATGCCTTCAAGTTGATGCAGCGGGATCATGACCCCTGACAGCCCCCCCATTCGGTTGGATTTCAGGATCTTCTGCCTGTCTGTGCTTGATATCCACGTCTGTCAACACTGCCTTTCCCATGTCCGCTCTCACACAGCCGTCCTCTTCTGTTCACCTCTTCCACCTCGGTCACTCTCCGCCTCCATCCTCACCGTCCACCTCCCCCTCCTCCTCCCCTTCCTCCTCTTCCCGTTCATCCTCCTCCACCTCCTTCTCCTCCCTTCCTTCCCCTTCCAAAGCCGTTTCCTCCAAAGCCGTAGGGCTCCCGGCTGCACCAAAACCAGGGGCCAGTTGTGCGCGGGAGGGGCCGGCCCTCTCCACCAAAGACCTGCTTCAGCATTTCCGCCGATGGACTCCATAGTGTGTGTGAGCGAGCGAGTAGTGCGTGTGTGAGGAGCGTGTGTGCGCGTGTGTGTATAGGTGTGTGTGTTGGTGTTGTTGGTGTTGTTGGTATTGTGTTGTTCGGCGTATGTGCGTGAAAAGCATGCCTTGGGGTTCGTCGTCCTGTGACTTCATGGGGCGGGCGAGAATCAAGAGATGGTGATACGGTGAAGGCTACGGATGTCGACAACCACATACACACTGACTGCATGGCCACCATCGCTCCCGCGCCCGTGCCCGTGCCCTGCCGTACCGTCCGCATGGCAGTGAAGAAGATGATGACGACGACGGTGCTGACAATGTCGTCCTTTCTGGGTGTTGTTGGGCATTGCTTGCCAGACCAAGAATACGGTGAAGGTGAACGCGAACGGCACTTGTCGCGTTGTTGGGGTAAGCCTTCCTCCAGCTTCCTCTTGGCAACCTACCTACTTGGTCATGGACAACTCTCCGGTCGCGGTTTATGAAGGTAGGGGCCAATATATAGGTAGCTACCTAGATAGGCAAGGTACCTAAGGTAGGTCTAAGTAGGTAACTGGAGATTTTCACTTGGATAGATGGAAGGTAATCAGCTTGGAAATGGCAATGATTATCCACAGTGACGGCAATAGTTATCGACAGCAACGGCAGTGGCTACCGACAACAACAGCAAGAGCCATCAACGGCGACATCAATAGCTACCGACAGTAAAAGTAATAGCATTAACGCTGACAGTAGTAGCCATTGGCAGCAACGAACGGCAATGGCTATCAGGCGAGAGAGTAGGTAGATATTCACCAGCGATGGCAGTAGCTATTGGCAGCAATGGCAGTGGTTGCGTCTTTCGCACTTATGCCTGCGACTGGTGAGGTAGGTATTGCTCTGTCATCGGCCATATTAGTGGACTGGGTCCTGTCGCCATTCCGACTAGACGACCAGGTTATGGACGCGCTGCGGGCCCGGCCCCCCACCGCCAAAGCCGACACCGATGCCCTCGTCGCTGACGCCCGGGACGACGCCGATACCCGCGTCGCTGCCGCAGAGAAACGGGCCGAGGAGGCTGAATCGACCCTCAGAGAGAAGGTCAAAGCCTTCAATGAGTATGTTAACCGCCGCGAGGCTGGAAGCGGCCGAGGCGCATGCCCTTGAATGAGTAGAATAAGACGTTGGTTGTGGCTGTCGCCTACGCAGACAGAGAAGAGGGGTTTTAGTCGAGCAAATATACTACTAACGGATGCTCGGCTTGCTGGGACTTTTGGCTCCTGATTCTCGCCAGGTTTCTTGGATGGCTTCGAGCGAGTTTCCAGCAAAGCGACAGAAGCTTCCGCCGAAGGTCACCTCGTGGGTGACTTCACTGACCTTCGAAGAGTTAGCCGCGTATCAGTCCCGCCAGTGATACCTACGTACCAAGCGCTGGAAGGGACGAGAGAGGCCCTCAGCCTCGGACTCGTCCTCACCCTCGCCGACAGCTCCGCTTGGCACTCCCATCTAGAGGCTGGGGTTTCGTTCGCACTCGGCGTTTGGACAACGCCACAAATCCTAGTGTGTTTCGCCCTGGCTTCCCCAGTCATCCCGTCTAACTTTACTGGTGGAATGAACCCCGTCGCGGGAAGGAGATAGCACACAACCTAATTCTGTCATTTATGGTCCTTGCGGGTCTCCTGCAGGGCGACTGTGCCAGGGGGGCAGGAGTCTTCTGTGTGCCCAAACATATGACAATTGCCGGAGCCTGTTCATGAAGTTCGGCATTTTAGTCCTACGACTCCCTTCAATGATGTCCTGCCCTGCAGGTAGGTAGATATTGCGTCCTCTTCCACAGGCAGCTCGTTTGCCGGTCAACACAAGAGAGGAGGTTGTTCGCCAAGGTGTGTCCTGGCGATATCACTGGGCGTGCACAGACCCCTGCCCACAGAGTGAAACATCACCTTAGCTCTCCCAAGAAAATGTTTCCCTCCATCATCAACAGTCCCATCAGCACCTGCACACACACCCAAAAGGGGGAAGACAGCCAGCCGCCAAACGAAACGAAAAGAGCAAAAATGCCCGGTTCCTTCCTCTGGCTAGTCCCTCCCGCCTCCCACCCGCTCCACACCATCCTAACCAACCTCATAACCACCACCCTCCCTGCCCTCCTCTCCCCCTCCCCCCACAACCCCACCTTCGTCCCGCACCTCACCCTAACCTCAGACATCCCCCCGGACACACACGGCCCCGACCCCCAGGCCTGGCTAGACTCGATCCCCTGGCCCAGCCGCCCCGGCTCCGTCCGCGTCCGCCTCCTCCCCTCGGGGCCCCGCACCGACGACGACGCCTTCTTCCGCCGCTGCTACCTCCCCGTCGACCCGGGCGGCGGCGTCGCCGATCTGGCCGCCCTGGCGCGGGCGTGGGCTGTCGAGGGCGAGGGCGGGGCTGAATCCGGCGCCGGCGGCGAGAAGACTGCCGCCTGGCTTCAGAGTTGGTTGGCCGGGTTTGGGCCGCATGTCAGTCTTGTGTAGTATGTCTTTTTTTCTTCTTCTTTTCCTTGGCTTGATTACCCCCCTCCCCCCTGGTGGCTGACGTTGATGTCTCAAAGCGGCAATGACCCGATCGACGAGGCGAAGCTGGATGAGGTGAGGAGAGCGGTCCGGGAGGCCGGGGTTAAACTCGAGGGCGAGGCCCCCGTTTCCGGCGAAGACGGGTGGGATGGCTGGGAGGGTGGGGTTATCTGGTTGATCCCGGCCGGCAGGCCCGTCAGTCAATGGAGCCCTATTGCGACCCGGGAGCTCTGACTGTTGACCTCTTCCGAGTTCCGTCTGGAGATCCCACAAGCTGAGCCTATCGCACGTCTTACTTGTATCTGTATGCCTGATCCGTCCAAGCCCCGCCTCACGCCATATCATCTTAGGTTCGGGGTATCATGTGGGCAAGTGGGCAAGTGGGTATGTAAAAATGTGGGCATTGATCAAATGTCATTGCAAAATCAACCTCTGTTCACGCTACATGGTAGTACAGATACCTTAGTACATAGAGCGCATCATCATCATACTCCGACCAACGCCACCCAAATCCGGTTCGCTTTTTATCCCATCCACCGGTTTACCGAAAGCGACGCTTCAAAGCACCCCTGCCATAATCATGTCCATTTGCCTCCCTGGCCCGCTTTGGGACCACTTCCAATACGTACTTCTGTTGTTTGTTGTTTGCTGGTGTCATCCTATCAGAGACACTCTGCCTTCCGGGTTCCCTCTTCGAGGCGGCGATCCGATCCCTGATCTGGATCCTCCGCTCTTCGATTCTTATGGCCCACAGTAATGTGAGCAGGACTTCCTTCGACGGTGGCACGGCTCCGTTCAGCCAGGTAGTCCCCTGGCCATCGGGCTGCTGCTGCGACGGAAACCCGTCGACTGCGGCCGTCGCCGACGCGCCGTCTCCTGGACCCCGGACGACTTCGTGACTCTCAGATGACGCCAACCGCAATACCGCCATCGTCGCATCCATAAGTGGACGCGCCAGAGTGGGGCTGCTGGATAGGATCTTCCGGAGAGATTTGAGTCTTAGGGTCGAGGAGCGACGAGTCTGCGACTGCGCAGTCATCTGGGTGCTGCTGCTGCTGCTGCTCGTTGGCAGAGAGGACGTTGAGTTCGTCATTGAGGAATTCGTTGATGTCGAAGAGCTCCATGTTCTGGTGGCCCGTCGGGGGGAAAGGGAAGGCTGAGGTGTCGTCACCAGCCAGATGATCGTATTCAAGATCGAGGGAGTTGGGGGAAGCGAGAAGCCCGCTTTCAAGGACATAGCGATCTGCATCAAGGGCCGCTGACATACTGAAAGCATCACTGACGTGGAGGTCAGAAGAAGCTGGAGCGGCAAGAGCAGAGCTAGAGCCGGATGGAGCTGTGATTGGGACGCCGTCAGCCACGACCGAGACACTTCCGCCGACCGACACTGCAGGTCTTCACACAACATCGCGGCAGGATGTTGTGTCGCATCGGGGGAAGTGTTCTCGGGGGTAGCGGCGCCCACAGCCTCATCCGGGGTTGCGGGCTCATCCTCCTCTTCATCGGCAACAGGGCTGAGCGCAGGAGAGAGCGCGGCGGGGTTGACTGTGCTGTTGGACTGTGTGGACATAAGGAGATCTTCATAACACCGGTTTCCATGCTCGAGCGAGGTGCTGTGGCCGTCTTGAGAGCCGAAGAGCTCCTGCGAGAAGGTAACCGGGTTTGGCCGGAGGCCATCAAAGGGTGGCGAAGACCTCGGGACAACGCCCGAGGTACGTTGGAACTTGTGTAGCTCCTCGACAAGGGTGAGGTTGGTCTGTTGGACTTGACGAAGCATCGACTCCAGTTCCTGGTTCCGTCGCTCCAATGCCTCAACCTCGAGGCGTTTCCGCTCTCGAGATGATTGAGCGGCACGCCGATTCCGGAGAACACGCTCGACTCGGCGTTGCTCCTTCTCGTCTTCCGTCTTGGCACGCTTCCTAGGAGGGGGTTAGACGGGGCACAGTTTGAGGGATTGAGGGGCTAGCGTACCTCGGAGGCAGGTTCGTCTTCGGCTCTGGGAGGACTTGGCCCCACGACTTCCTCTTCTTAGCCGCCCTCTTTTCCGAGGCGGTAGCGCCTGGGGTGGAAGGTGACTCTGGAAGGCTGGTGGTCAAGCCCGACAGAAGTGAAAGGTCGGAGTTCTTCTCGTCGGTGAATGACTGGGGAGTCATGATCTCAAGGGGGTTCATGGTTGTCGCCGGCGATGAGCCGAAGAGAGACGGATACATGTCGCCCGGGGTCGAGAGGAAGGACTCGGCGGGCGAGTTCTCGAACTTGATGTCGGGCGAAGGAGTCTGGCTATCCCAGGAATCCATTGTGACAGGAGGACTTGGTTCTGCGTGCTTGTGCTGTGATCAGGTGATTGCTGATCGACTCGTGGTTTGCGAGGGCAGAGAGTGCAGAGAGAGAGGTGGTTTGACCGTATCAAGGTGCCGTCCTAGTTCCTCAATACAAATACGTCAAGATGGGGGCGACGTGCTAATAATGGCAGTGCATAGTGAATGACGACTACAAACGACGACTCGATGAGTCAGCCTGTGAGTCAGAAGAGGGTTTAGGCGGGCACTGTCGCCTGAACGACTGTGTGGTTGGCTGGATGGACGAAGAGGACAGAGTGTCTTCTTCGAAGGTTTGGCTTTGGGTGTCAGGAACAGGCCTCGCTAGGTTGGGGGTGTGGGAGACACGTCCTCTCTTTATGGTCTGGCCACGTATTGCCAAAAGGGGCTGCGGCCTGAGGCAGCATGGAGTACGTAGTCGACCTCGAGGGCCGATTCGTTGATGTGATTGGTGGACTTGGCGAACGGACCTGAAGGGGGCGAGACAATATTGGGAGAGCCAAACAGGCAAGTCGAGAGACCAGCACAGGGATGGCAGGGGTAAGCAAGTGAAGCAGTGGGGCCGGATTGCTTCGTAAGGGGCCGAAGAGCTCCACCCGCACCAACCACCCAACCAACCAAATGGCGAGAACTGCCCACTGGCAATCACCGATTGTCTCACACCACAGGGAGGCACAGTGCTCATCCTCGCTCCAGCCCCTAAACATAGCAGCATCTCGTACCAACATGCTCGTGAAGGACGGAGCCGTATGGGGCACAGTCCGTCTGACAATGGCTGATATCATCATGTCTTTAGGATCCGCCCTTCGCTCAATGCCAGAGAGCGCTGACACATGTGATGCACCGCCCGGAAGATGGAAGTTGGAATCGCCTGCATGCACCGCATCCACTCCCTCCACAATTGTTCCAATTTCATTGATGCTCGAATATCTTCCCCCATATCATAGCTATATGGCCGTTGCACTATGCTGTTTTCGCATTCATTTCGCAATTACTATGTGACCGTCCCAGTTTGGTAAGCGGACTCGGCATATTAGGCTTCCTGCCTTCCGGTAATCTATTGCGTGTGGTGGGCCATTTTAAAGTATTAGCCTGAAGCGAACCCCAGATTTCGTGCAGGAGACGAGGGGAGACGAGGGCATTTGCGCGCCGTGGGCCGCCTCGGAGTCGGCTCCCGAACCAGCGCCAACCAGGAACTCCAAAATGCCGCGAACGACTAGAAGTTTCCATTTCCCGCTTTGATTAATTTGACTCCGACCTCATTTGACGGATGGCAGAGCACACGATTAATGCGACCACTGCGAGTTCCGTGGCGCAACGTCGCCGTCGTGGAGGCGGGCCGAGATAGTACCTAATTCAAAGTTTCTCCTTGCCTCCAGGCTACAATCTGTGCCGACTGTGCCTCCCCTTATTACTCAGTAACCTCCTCAACCTAGTGTACTGTGTAGTGGCCGTAATCATCCTTCCAATCCCCCTAAAGTGGATTCGCCCCCGGTTTGAATGGCACCTTCATCGACAGGCATGAATAAGCGAATGAGAAACTCGCAGGCTGGAGGCTGTATGTTGGAGGCTGTTGGAGGCTGGTCCTTCGTTCCGTTCCGCGGCTGGCACGATCCATGGATCTCTAACGCTCGTCCAACTTCAAGAGGATCGGCCGCTCCCTCCGATCATTCCATTGCCCCTTTTGGCAATGCGTAGGGCCCCCTAGCTTCCGCTTTGTGGTTTGTGGGCCCAGCGCCGCCCAGCCTTCCAGGGTCCAGCAGCAACCCCCCTACATGTGTCGGATCTCGGGGCAGGGCGGCTGCCTTGGCATACTCTATTTGGCAGGCGAGGGATCATTTTGACATCCTGGCGAGGATGGAAGCTAGGTAGCCGAATCCATTATCTCGCACGGAAGAACGATTCGAATGAAATGGGCTGGGGACCTGACTGGCGGGACGGCGGCACGTGGGTGGGCGCAATCCCCGGGTCGCTCGTCCAAATCGGATTATTTCGTTCCGATAAGCAAGTGCGGCGGGGATACCTTGGCACGTGCTTGGTACCCATTGGCATGGACGTGGTGGTTGTTTATGTTCTGGTTGCTACAAAGTGACGCTGCCCTTTTTTCGCCGACACTTACCTGCCTACCGTCCCACCTGCACGTCTGAGATCTTCTTTGCCCAAATATGTGGTTACAGACCTGCTGTCGCTGATTCCAAGCCAGGGATCGTCATCCATGGCCTCCAGCGGCGCATCTGACGATGACATCAAGACCGATACCGAGTACAGCTCCACCGATTGTGCTGATGCCACAGATGAGGAGGGAGACAGTGATGACTTAGACGACGTCTCGGACGATATTTCCGACGGCATTTCCGACGACAATCCCGACTCTGCCCCGGACGTATTGGGCATCTACACCGGGCCTGAAGCAGACGCTGTCCTGGCCCGAAGTCATGCACGCTGGCACACCGCCCTCCGGGCCGCAAGAGCCGCGCGCCCCCGGCGAATTTCCTGATAATGCCTTTGACCTCAGGGGGTTTTTGCTCCGTATCCCGGCCTTGCCAGACTCCACTCCCCATGACTGTAGAGGCCTTCAAGTTCATTCCACTTGGACAAACTCCGACACGTCTTGTTCCTTGCGCGAGAAGACGGAGAAGCCTCACAGCATCTCGCTGAGGGATCCCCGTCCCTTCACAGTCACCGCATCAGCAATCAGCTTCCAGGTGTGGGACGGTACACCAAGCAATGGTATCTTCCTACTTATCTTGGGCTGGGCATATATCCTTAATGCTACGGTCGCCGAAAAGCAAGGGCTCCCGCTCCAGATCCACTGTTTTGATGGGCCGATACCTCCAACCCCACCGGCGCCTCCGATACCGCTTAATATAAGCTACGCGACACCAGAGGAGCTCTCGTGGTGGAAGGTGCTCACCACTCGAGCAACAACATTAACCGCTGATGGTCTATTTCTGCCATGGTCTCTCATAGTAACAGATCTAGGCGGCCTACATATTCTGGGCCATTGCAAGGACCCAGGTCTCCGCAAGCTCCCATCAACCACCCAGCCTGCAGCATACCTGGCGAGATTATGCTCGGCTTACAACCTAGGGAGCCAATTCTCGGCAGCGCTTGCGGCAGTTCTTAGCTTTCGGGTCCGTCGCAGAACTCAGTCTCACGCTGTGACAGTGCCAAAGGCCCGGTTTTTGTCACCTTGCTTCACCAAAGTTTCCAGTCTCGGACTCAGTCAACCTCGGGAATTCAGTCATCTCAGCTACTACATGACGTTGGCTTTATCCAACCACGCCTTGCTTGTCGTTCTAGAAAGCTTGCTGTGGGAGGCTGATGTCCCATGCAACCATGCCGGACAGTGGACTCGGCCGATTCGAAATATTTTCGGGCCCATCGTGGAAGCCAAGGACTACGAGCTCCTTGCGAAGGTCATTGCTTTCTCATCGGCAAAGGCAGCGCCATTGTGGCTGGGTACCCTGATTTGTGGCGAGTATCCTTACCTTCTGGAGTCGATTGACTGGAGCAAGTGGTATGGAAGGACAACTGTTGATGTCGCTGCATGGACAGGCACTGCAAGGTCCTTCATGACTCTACCAGGTCCAGGTCCGTATATGCGGAATGGATCTGTTTCCAGATCAGATGTGTGGCGGCTGCGTCGTGATTTGCGAGATTTATATGATCAGGACGAAGATGATTATACTCTCAAACCCCTTAGGCCCTGGCGTCCCTTTGGAGCCATGCGACTCGAGGACGTAGAGATAGAGCTGCACAGCCATCTCCATTGCTCCCATCAGTGGATTTACAAACATTGGACTTGGCTTCACAGCTCCGCTACAGATACTGGATTCTCCCCTGTTGGGGCAAAACCGCCGACAGAAGAGACCACACACCTTGCGCAATGCTTAGAGCAGTATCGCAGTTCTGCTGATGCCAGGGCCATTCGGAGAGTCTCCCGAATGAGCACTGACCTGATATTCCGCTGGTGTTGGAACCAGGTTGAGAAAGGCTTTACCGGCCATGTTGTCCCCGCATGTCATTACGGTGAGGTACCGTTAAGGAGCAAAGACAGCTTGGTTGACTCGGAAAGGATTCTCGAATGGATCAACACGGCAGGTTCAGCCTGGAGGGTGTAGCCAGAAACTGAGTCGGAGGCAGCATTCGTAGATTAGGCTGCAGCCAGACAAGTAGGTAAGTACTGGTCATGGGCTAGACTCTTCATCACGAGGACAAATCACCACGAGGCTCAGAGCTGGCTGCCCAAAGTAAAATATGCAGCTAGCTTCGTTCGGTCAGCGTCATGAAGTTTTCGGGAAGCCTTCTCAGCGGGCAGGCGCCAAAGCATCAAAAATTGACCTTTTTCGACAGCCCAAGCCAAGTGACGGCATGTATGGTAGGCCCCACTCTAGTATTCGCTGGGGTAATGTGGGGGAAAGCTGAGCGAGAGACATGACAGTTTAAGACTGAACTGACAGTAGGTACCTAACCAGTTGCAGCACTCGATGGCAGCCCGCCAAGACTTCCAGAATCGCCATCAACGGCTGAGTGCTGCGACCCCTGGAACATGTGGCTGTAGATCGATTGGATGTCATCGACTCGGAAGAGAACATGTAATATTCCCCCACTCTACTTGCATAGGTACCTGTCCAACAACAACCCCCACCTCCCGCTCTCCCGGGATGGGTGGCAGCGGGCAAGGGAATGGAAATAAATGTGTTACATGGCGGCTTGCGGCAACTCGTGGGTAACCCGTCTGGGGCACTTTTCCAATTCCTCACGCGGTTTCAGATCCCTTTGTTCCATCCGCTTGGACTCGTCAAGCGGCAGCCCACATTGGGAATTTGAGCAATCTACATCGGAGCAGATCATACGCACACTGCTGCGAATATATGTATATTGACGGTTGACTGCATGGCCTAGCGGCTGGTGGCGCAACGACACTGACAACACCGACTTCCGAGGTCGCTCGGCTGGACGAGACCTGCTTTCCTCCCCAGCATGCATCATATGAAAGGATCCATATTCCCCCACTGTCCCTTGACGATACCCTCGATATCACTTGTGAGCCAGCCACCATAGAAATCTCCCGGCTGAGGCAGGACCTGCTCCCCGTCGACAAAGCAGTCCCATGGCCCGGCATAGAACGCGAGATAGCCCTTGATCGGCTCGAATGCCTTGGTCGGTTCGTTGTACGACCATATACGGTTTTGTATTGTCTCGGAGGCGTTGATGGGGCTCATCATGGAGTAATACGTCGCCACCCCTTTCCACTCGCATACTGATGTTCGCTGCGTCGTCGAGAGGGGCAGACGAACCGAGGTTGGGGGTAGGTAATATGCTGCGGGGTTTCCACAGCGTCAGTAACACAAAAAACGACAAAACCCGCACTACGTCTAGACGACCACTCACTCGGAGGATGGTGGGTTTCGAGGACCCAATATGCCTCGTGTGTGTCTGCAATAACCTCGCCATGCCACTTGATCTGGATTCGCCGTGGTGTCCGCTCTAGCAACGGCGGTCTCGGAAAGGACTGGACATTGAGCCTGGGTTTCGATGCCATTTTGACGATCCTCGTAGGGAGGGGTTAAGGCAGGTTTAGGCAGAGCGACGCCACTTGAACGAATGGCAGGGAGAAGAAATGCTAGGGTTGAACGCCGTCACCAGCATCCTCCACGATCTTCTTCAGTAATAGTAGTTTCCATTTTCTACATCTTACTAAGCTAGTCTCCCAACTAGCCACTCACTGCTTGGCTGCGTCATCCCGTGGCAGTGCATGTGCCCCCACTTCAGGCCTTCCATTCTCTTTAGCGGCTCCAACCAACCAAGACCAGCGAGGCCATCTTTGGTGTCGCCTCATCCAAACGTCGCATCTCCAACGTCTAACCGGCCATCGAACCGCCCTTCTCTACACCTTTCCCGCCGAGTACCCTCCCACCTAGGCCTACATCAACACTGCCGCAACCATGTCTAATCGACAGCTCTCTCGGGATATGCAAACGGAGTTTCAGGCGCGGGTAAGTTGCCCCTCAATTGCCCCCTCTGCCAAGTTTCCCTACACATAGAGGACATCTACCAACCCTGCCTGTCAAATCCGCGCTGCACATATTATGTCCTATTCTAACGTATCTGGACCAGTTTAACGCCAAACAAGCCCGCCGGGAAGCCCAGAAAGCCGCGAAACAAGACAACGAGCTGAAGAAGCAGATCCAAACAGTACGCTCCCCGCACTCACACCCATAACCCCCCATACCGATGGGGCAAAGAGCCCACGACCAGCTACCAGCTCCATCTTGTCATCTTGTCACACTCCATACTAACGCCATCCCCCCCTTTGTTCAACAGCTCCTCAAGAAGGGCGAGACCGGCCAGGCGGCGCAAAAGGCGCGCATGCTCCTAGCCAAGCAGGCGATCGCGGCGCAGATGGACCAGGCGGCGGACATGGCGGAGCTCTCGGTGGCGCAGATCCAGGCCAACAACGCCATGAACCGGATGACGGCCATGATGGCGTCGTCGTCGCGGACCATGACGCGGGCGCAGCGCAGCGCCAACCCGGAGCGCACTCTCCTGACCCTCGAGCAGTTCCGCTCCCAGAACGAGGAGTACGCCGTCAGCAACGGCATCTACCAGGACGCCATGACCCAGAGCACCAGCGTCCAGGTCACCGACGACGCCGTCCACGAGCTCCTCGGCCAGCTCGCCGACGACGCGGGGCTGGAGCTAAAGCAGGAGCTCAACACGGCGAACCCGAGCAAGGCCGAGCCCGTCAAGGAGTCGGCCGGCGCCGAGCCGACGGCCGAGGAGGAGGACGCGCTGACCCAGAGGCTGAGGGCCTTGAGGGCCTGATCCGCGGCTATCGCCAGGGCTTATCTTTGAGGGTTGGAGGAGTGAATCGCTGCGCCTTTTGGACGGGCGGGGGGCATGGGATACGCAGCTTATATGACTTTGCATCGGATCTGGGACATGGGAATGAATGGACGCTCGCTCTTCGTTCGGGTGGGCAACTGTATGGCGTTCGGGAAAGGACGGATCTCGCGTTATTTCACAGTCGAAGGACAATATATATATAACGAAAGTGAGGTGTCTTAAGGGGCATCTGGAGCATCCAGGAGGTGATGGAAGCCCCTGCTGTTTCCTCGCTACAGGACCAACATGGCAGGACTGCTCACGTTCTAGATGGAACCACCACGTTCGGTCGCCTTTCTATCGATGCCTCTATTAGCAGTCTTGGAACACCCCCCTTCCCATGACTCTGGCAGACCAAGTTCTGCTTGAGAGGGCACATCCGAGAACTCGGTAGCATCGTGGTCTGCCACCTCCCCCTTGGGCGGGTTCCGTCCGATTTGTACTGCGATGTAGCCTGCCCATTTTGTGTCATGAGTCTACCAATATAGACGATGTGTATCGACAAAATGATACAACTCTACAGGCCGGAGGTTAGTAACTCTTGTATATCAATGCAAAGATCCGACCAGTAGTGCTATAATGCCCAGCTCAGCACATAAAAAGGTGTCGGTTACTTCACTAATGCCGCATACCCGAGGGGTCGGCCACAAGAGGTGTCTTCTGCGGTATCTATCTCTCTACCTATGACGCCGCTCCTATGCGAATGATAACTTGATAGAGCTTTTCCAGCCCATGCCCCCAAAAATATACGCCCCCAGGGGAGGAGGCAAAGTGCATCGTCATCATGATACTCTAGACAGACGAGTAAAAACGAAGAAGACAGAAAGAAAAGAAGAGCCAGCCAAATCACATGTACAAGCTCGCCACGGCGGTGATATCCCTCCTGATCATCTCCTGCGCGGCCGCCATCTTGCGGTACAGCTCGGGGTCGCCGATGATGCGGGCCGCGTTCTTGACCTCGCGGCACGTCTCGTCGAGGCGGGTGATTGTGCGCACGATGGTGCCCTCGAGCACGTCGGTCAGGTCGGTGATGTTCCTGAAGCTCGTGCCGCGCGCCCACTCGTGCACCACCTCGACGAGCCCGAACCGCGGCCGGCTGGAGAAGTCGCTGACCCCCTCCTCGGCCGACTGAATCACCTGGTGCGCCTCCTGCACCCCGTTGACGCGCTCCGCGATGGCCACGATCGTCTTCATGCCCCGCTCCAGGCTGCCCGTCAGCGTCGGCGCCGTGGCCGTCTTCTCCTGGAACACAAAGGCCGACAGCAGGGCGGCGATCTCGGCGGGCTCGTAGTCGGCCAGCACGTTCTCGAGGATCAGCTCCGTCAGCACCAGCTCGTCGCCCGAGTGGATCTCGCACGCCACCTTGCCCTTGAGCTGGATGCGCGCCGCGTCGTCGATGAAGGACAGGTCCTTGAGCACCTGGATCCGCTGCTCGTAGTCCGGGAGGAGCTGCAGGTTCTGGTCTGCGAGGCTCGCCCGGAGCTGGTCGATCTGCGTCTTGATGAGCCACTGGTCGTGGCACATGGCGAACTGCGTTGTGGCTGCGTTAGCGGGGTGGAACAATGTATCAATCGGCATTGTCCCTGTTAAAATTCGGCGTGACTTACGTGCTTGAGGAAGTGCTGGCACTTCAGGGCCGGCGATGTGCAGGCTCTCGCCTCGGCCTCCTTCCGCTTTCCTATGACCTCTTGCAGCTGCAGGCTCCGGAGCTTGGAGAGATCCATCTCGTCCCAGATGTCCGAAGTCCACGACTTGCAGATGCCCTGCAGCTTCTCCTTCGCCTTCTGATAGGCCTCGCCGCCGGCGAAGACGTCGGGGACGACCCCCTTGGTGACGAGCTTTGTGAGGCACTCCACCTCGGTGAGGGGCACGTGGCAGGTCTTAAACTGGATGTGCTTCCTCGCCTGCGGGAGGCTGGTGTACAAGGCGCGGAAAGGTGGCAGGAATGGGAGCAGATCTGTCGAGTTGCGGGTTTCTCTCAAGGTCCTGATCTCGAGCACGTGTATCGTCGGGTTGTCGGCCGCACTCTTGATACTTGCGCCCTCGGAGAGTAGGATGCCGGGAGTGCGCACGCCATCCTTCATCCACACCACCAGTCGCCCAGCCGTGAACATCTTGCGACCGACGGGGATCCGCAGCATGAGCTGGTACAGCTCCACGGTCAGCTGCTTGTAGTCCTCCGAGGCTTGATGGCAGCCGTCCATGTCCACGTCGCAGATATCGCACGCGTCGCGCTTGACCTTCGCCAGATCGGCCTCGGACAGCTTGACGGCCTTCTCGTGCTCGGGCAGTAGCTGCTGGGTGGCGTGCTCGGAGAAGGAACGCTTAATCATCTCCTCGATCTTCAACGCCTCGACACGCAGCAGGTTCAGGATCATGTTGTACGTGAGCCGGAACTGCGACCGGAGCTTGGACGGCTCTCCCAGGATCATCTGCCTCAAGTCCGTAACCGGAGGAGCTTCGTCGCCGCCGGGAGGGACGATGATGACGGAGCCGACTGCGTCCAGGCCTCGACGTCCGGCTCGTCCGGCCATTTGGGTGTATTCGCCGGGGAGTAGGTTGCGGAAGGAATGGCCGTCATGCTTTCGGTATCCGGAGAAGACGACTGTTCTCGTCGGCAGGTTCAGCCCCATGGCGAAAGTCTCGGTGGCGAAGAGAACCTTGACCAGCGTCTGAGCGAACAATATCTCGACCAATTCCTTGACAATCGGCAACAGGCCGCCATGGTGAACAGCGATGCCTCGAGCGAGGAGTTCCTGGAGTCTGATGATCTGCGGAAGGACTCGGTCTTCGGGCTTCAGCCGCGCTATTGACTTCTTAATGGTCATGTGGATGGCGCTCTTCTCCTGGGCCGTACAGAAGTCCTGGTTGGATAAGGCATCCGCGTTCTCCTCACACCGCTTCTTGGAGAAGACGAAGATGCAGGCCGGAAGTAAGTTCGACTTCCTCAGGAACTGCACCAGGTGCACCCAGAGATTCTTGTCCTGCGCAGCCGAGGTGAATCCTCCCGGCCGCCCGGCCCGTCCCATGTGCCCGGGAGCATGGCTCGCCCGCGGAGGCCCGCCTCTGCCCCGTTGCGCACCACCGCCTCTCGCCCCCCCTCCTCGCTGCTGCTGGCTGCCGCCCCGCTGAACGGGCCCTCCGCGGCCTCCTCGCTGGTTGCCGCCGCCCCTACCCCGAGAGGCCGGCGCCGCTTCGATGGCCTTTGGCTTGTCGTTACCCTTGAGTGCTGCGCTGGCGTCTTTCCAGCCCTTTTCAATAAACGTCTTGTTCGCGTCCACGATCATGTGGATATTCTTGCCAGCCCAGAGGTAATGTTCGAGAGGAACGGGTCGCTTGGGGGTGGAGATAACGTAGATATCCCTGCGCTTGGTTCGCCCAACCCACGAAGCAAACTCATGCGTGTTTGGGACCGTCGCCGACAGCAGGATGAGAGACACGTGGCTGGGCAGCATGATGATGACCTCCTCCCACACAACGCCCCGCTCAAAGTCGTTGACGTAGTGCACCTCGTCGAAGATGACAAACTCGACGTCTCGGATTAGATCCGCGCCTCGATAGAGCATACTCCGGAGAATCTCCGTCGTCATGATGAGGCAGCTCGCCTCCGGGTTGATCTGGACGTCGCCCGTGAGAATTCCGACCTCGTCAAAGGTCTGCCGGAAATCGCGGAACTTCTGGTTGCTGAGGGCCTTGATGGGGGAGGTGTAGATGGCCTTCGTCATGTGTCTCGCCGCCAAGGCAATGGCGTATTCTGCGACGACCGTCTTCCCGGCCGACGTGTGGGCGGCAACGAAGACGGAATCGCCGTTCTCCAAATGGTAGATGGCCTCTTTCTGGAACGTGTCAAGCTCAAACGGCCACTCCCTCGCCATGTCCGGTACCAGCTCCCTGAAGTTGGGCATCTCTCGGTTGATGTCGACCATGTGCGCCCACTCGCGTCCCGCCCGTCTCGCACTCGACGCAGCGAGAGCACCGTGGGGTTCCAAAGCCGGGAACTCGACCGGCAAGATGGCGTCAATATCCTCGCCATCAACCCCCTCATCGTCGTCCTCGTCACCATCGCCCGCCGCTCCATTGACGGGCATTCTGTCTTGATCGTCGCCGCCCTCTTCGGGAGCATCTTCGGGCTCCTGGTCAAGTACCTCCTCGACCTCCTTCGCCTGCCTCTCGACATCGACATCGGCAGGCTTCCTCCTCCTGCCGAACTCGATACCCCTCTCCAACCCGGGCGCGACCTCGAGCAAGCGGGCCTCGGCACCGAGCTTGATCACCTTATCGAGCTTATTCCTCCCCGTCTCCCCGTCCGCATCGCCAATGCCGGCAGCGCCCCTCAGCACCTGATCCTCCAGCGCGGCCGTGGCCTCGACGCCCTCCAGCCCGCCAGGCGCGAAGGGGAAGAACCCGGCGGCGCCCCTCACAAAATCGGCCCTGCCGGCGGGCTTGCGCGACAGCGACGTGCTGTTCTTGGCGGTGGCGTGCGCCGCGGGTACGGTCACGTTGCGGTAGCCCGTGACGCGGCCCTCGAGCCCGTGGCGGAGGAAGCGGGTGACGGTGCGGGTCTGCGTCGGCGCCAGGCGGAAGAGCAGCGTGTGGTCCGTCGGCGTGTCCCAGCGCTGCTGCAGCTTGTTCAGCCATTCGGCAGAAAAGGTAGTCGACGGCGAGAGGTATTTCTTCTCGAGCGACGCCTTGAGCTCGTCGGCATCTTGCTTTCGTCGCTTCCGCGGTGCTTGCTGGAAGAGGATGTCGTCGATGGTTTCGTCGCTTTTGAGGCATATTCCGGCATCTCCGTCGTCGAGGTGAAGCCTTTGCATGGCTTCCGAGAGATTGGACGCCATGGTGCCGGAGCGGATTTGTGGTGAAGAGAAAATGGAAAGGTTACGGAATGAAGCTGTGCGGCCAGCTTAGGTAGTTGGTGCCAAGGTAGGTTGTCCCGAGTCGTTTTAGTGTGCCAACCCCGCCAACTGTTCCTTTGGTGGGGTCGTCAGGCTACGCACCTTGCCGATGGATGACTGCACCGAGTACCTTCAATAAAGTTGTGATGACGGTAAACCACCTAATTTAAAGAAAGACACAATGGACACGGAAGGCGCTTATCAGCTGAAGGTTGTATGCAATTGACCGAAAGGTTATTTCGGCACCAAAACGCCCCCGCTAAGTCATCCATCGTCGTCGTGAATCTGTACATGCAACGCAAATCGAGCTCGAGTATGTTTGTACTAATCACGCCCCTAATTAGTCCCATAATCCATCCATTTCCGCCATGGCTTCCTCCTCGGCCGCGAAGTCAGTGGTGTCTGTTCCAAGTTCCTTCCCTGCTGATGCCGCCGGTACAGACGGCCTCGACGGCGGGCCGCTAGCCTCTGCCTCCGCCATGAGAGCGTCTAGGTCATCCGTATCATCTTCATCGACTTGCCTCGACGAAGCCTTCGGCTCCCCATCACCAAATATGCTGCGTACCACCGTCTCCTGGGTTTCCTTCCTGTTCTTCAGCACCGATGTCTCTGCTTCTGCTTCCGCTTCAGCCATCAGAGCATCCAGTTCGTCTTGGTCGGGGTTGCCGGATGTCCTCGCTGGCTGCGCTGGCCCGCCCCCGCCAAATATGCTGGTAAATGGTTTGGGTCCGCTGGCCGTGCCGTTCCCCTGTCGCGTGGCTTGGCCCTCTGCCTCTGCCTGTGCCATCAGCGCATCTAGCTCGTCGTCGGGTTCCCCTCCGTGATTCCTCTCCGCTGTCCTTAGGCGGGGCGTCGCATTGTAGATGTCCTCGTCCCCGAACAGATCATCGACAGTCGGAGTGCTCCTCCCCTCCGCTGCCCCCATCCTCTTCTCAAATATGGGAGCGATGCGAGTCGGTTCTCTCGCTGGCGACGGCGGCCGCCCCTCCCGGAACTCGTCGTCGTCCTCCCAGGCCATCGCCTTCGGCTTCCCCTCGTTGATCCACTCCATCCGCTGCCTGTGCATGCTCGTCTTGTGGCCGGCCTTCTCCACCATTGCTAGCGCGTCGAGGAACTTTGCCTTGGGGAAGAGGTCGTCTAGCCAGAGCTGGTAGAAGGAGAGCAACCGGGCCGCGTCGGAGAACTAACAAAAACAGTGGGTTAATGGTCGCCATGCGAATAGCAGTGGCGCTATCTAAAGCTTACCTCGTGTCCTTTTCCTTTGAGCTTCAGATGCTTCGCTCTCCTGCGGAGCTCGGGTATTCCCTTTTCGGACAGAAGCCTGGAAATTCCCAGTCAGTCCCATAGCCCATAATGTTTTGGGCGCAAACCTACCTCGCCTCGTCTAGCTTGACCCGGGGCACTATTGCGCGCTTCTTGACCTCGACCTCCTCGTCAATACCCAGCCCTTCGGGCTCCTTTCTTTTGTTCTTGCCGGCATCTGGGCTGGGTGATCTGAATGGATCTCCGAGATCGAAGTCTTCGTCGAGGAGGTAGCTGTCAATGTCCTCGGCAGCCGTTCTTCGAGGCTCCGATGGCTTTGACGAGGTCTTCGCAGGCATTATGGGAAATTGATCTCCTTCCACTTGTGTCTGCTACAGGGTTATGTTGTTGAGAGAACTTGGCCTTTGACTTTGTTGGATTGAACGCGCTCGACGCGTCTGGGATTCACGTGTGTAAGTGGTGGGGTCTACAGTTGGGTCTTGTGGCTTGACCTGCGCCACAATACCCCTGCACAGTCCCTAACCCTATCACGGAGTTAAGTACTAGGTAGAGTTCAGTGGCAGAGCGATCAGAGAGGTGCGATGCATACGACTGAATGGTTGGATGATCCGAGTAAAATCCTAGTCAAGGAAGGATCTTGCTCACTACCTACCTGAGGCATGGCCAATTGCCCCAATTGTAAGACACCCGTCGCGGCGCAAAAATGATGGCGTCTGTCCTGGTCAACAGCGGGATTTCAATTGCGGTTCCTGCCATGAAAAGTTTCCGGCCTCAAAGAGCTTCCAGCCTGCCCTTTATTAAGCGCGACCTTCCTGCAACTGGCGACTCCCCTCCTGTATCTTGCGACTCCCCTCCTGCATCTTGCGACCGCCCTCCTGCATCTTGCGACCCCCCTCCTGAATCTTGCGACCCCCTTCCTGGATCATGCGACCCCCTACCTGGATCTTGCGACCCCCTTCCTGCACCTGGCGGCCCCCTTCCTGCACCTGGCGGCCCCCTTCCCGCACCTGGCGGCCCCCTTCCCGCACCTGGCGGTCCCCTTCCCGCACCTGGATATTTCCTTCCTGCATCTTGCGATTCCCCTTGTGCATCTGCAGGAAGATTCCGCGGTTGTCGTTTTTTTAGGCAATTTCTTTGTAGTGGTTTTCTCCGCGATCGAAACCCTGGCCGGCCGGAAGTCCGTCCTTCTTGCCCTTGTTTAGGTGACCGAACAGGTAAATCTCCATTTGGGCCGAGGGGTGATGTTCAGTAGAAAAATATGCGTAGTGGTTTGGAGGTGGTGCTGGGATTTGTTTGGGCTCGATCTGCGCAGGCTTGGGATTGGCCTGGGCATTCCTTGGGATCCCCCGTCGCCTCTTCTGTCACTTTGCTGTCAGATGTGGGTTTGGCCATTAGGTGCTACCTTTTCATACCTTTCAACTGGGTAGACCAGGTGCAAGGGAGAAGATATCTCTCGTTAGCACCACCTGTTCCAGGCGTCGCTGTATCCCCTCTCGTAGATAGAGTTTTCGCTTGCTATGTGGAAAAAGGTATGTATAGTAGTTTGGAGGTGGTGTTGGGCATTTATTTGGGCTTAGAGAAGGCGGTGTTGGTATTTTCGAACGCGTGAGGTTGGTCCGGGCCTTCCCTGGGATCCGCACCTTCCTTGGGGTTCGCACCTTCCTTGGGGTCCGCTGTCGCCTGTTCTCTCACCTTTCTGCCAGGTGAGGTTTGGCCACTAGGCGCCCCCTTCGTACCTTCCAACCACCTAGCCAGGCAATGGCAGGCAATCCAAGGTTGTCAGCAGCACTGGCCTTGATGGTGCGGCGGATATAACTCAATAGCAGCAAATCGGAATGTTGAGGAGAAGGCCACAGCGAAGTAGGAGAGAGAGAAGTGTTGAGGAAGAGGAACTGCGTGAGAGGAAAAGAAGAAAAGCCTGCCTTTCTGTATGTCGGACAAGCAAGGCAGTGTAGTCGTTTACTTCCCCTAGCGCCTTGTAGTCCAGAAGATATCTGGTCACAGGGGCGTCACATTGCAAAATAGGTAACCAGAGAAACACCTTCCACGCCATCACTAGCAGCCCCAAGATCACCTATGTCGCAGCACTGGCAGCGACAAGTCACGATAAAAACGGTAACACAGAAGAAAAGGATAGAAATTTTACGCAGCTGTGCAACCATAAATTCTCAGCAGGACTTCATGTGTTATTTTGATTGAAGTTGAGGGATAAGTCGAGAAGGCATCGACGTGGTCCAGGGGATGTCGATGGGCTGAAGTAACTGAAGGTGCGTAGTCACGTGCGAAACTGTGTGACGCCGGCAAGTGGTCAGCTTTTGCCTGAGGCAACAAAAGTTTAGAGCTTCCACCAAAAGCTTCAAACCTCATCATCGCATTGAGCGGAACCGGTGATTGATTGACGCCAAAGTGCCAGTCGCCAGCATGTCGAACCCTCCTTCCCAGACGTATTTGCCGAGCAAGACGGTCCAGACCGATTATCCTGTAAGTCTAACAAGCAATTGGCCCTCTGTGGAGTCGCCAGATCGGTCGCTAATCTTCCAACCACCAGCTCATCGACAACGACCCGTATGTCACTCGTGCAATCTCCCTCAATCCCACGCTCCGCCTACCGGTCCTAATTCAATTGCTCTTGTAGACATTTCAAGCGAGTTCTCCGCTATGCGAGGCCTTCCGACTACGCCCACGGCGTCGTGGCTGCCGCAGCAGGGCCGGGCATGCTCCTCGCCATGGAGAAGTTCGCGCCGTCACACGTCGGCAAGGGAGGATTTGCCAGGGCGATGCGATTAGGAGGATTCATCGGCCTATGTGGTGGCTTCATCTACTTCTACCAGCGATCGATCCGTACGTTATCCCGCTCACGCCCGTTACAAAACCTCGCACAGCATGTGGATAAATGGGTCTATCCCTCCGGGCCCTCATTCCTGGCCCTTCAATTCCGTCGCTGTGGCTGGTGTGACCTTGGAAACCCATAACTGACCGATAGCCCGCAGTCCGCTTCTACGGCATGAGCGAGAACGCACGCGAGGTGCAAATGGACATGCGCGAGATGGTGAGCAAGGTCAAGGCCGGCCAGCCGCTCTACGGCGAGAGCCAGCTCACCCCCGCCATGCAGGGCGTCGCTGCCCGGCAGTCCAGGTACTCGGCGCTCTTCATGGGTGTCCTGCCGTGGTTCAATTTCGTCAACCACAACCAACACGGCGTCGACACAGCCAAGTACTACCAGCAAGCAGAAAGGGAACTCGAGGCCGAGAGATTGTCCAAGGGCACGGCGTAAGTACCGAGGTTAGGGGCAGGGAATCGGCAGACGGCGCGGCTGCGTGTACAGGATCCGGGCGAGGGTGGAATTGACGCTGTGCGTGTATATATGGGGTTGGATGACAGGTATTCACAGGTCTCGAGCCAACAAGCAATTTTTTTCAGGTCTCTTTCTTTCTTTCTTTTGATTGACCATTGCAGCTCCCTGTTTGCGGCCTCGCCATGGACCGCCCACCCCAAGCAATCCAAGTGGAATTTCCAGTTTGAGCGGCAACAGCGGTATTTTAGCCTCTTGCCGCCTGCTGACGAATGGGTAATGCTGAGACCATCGGCCCCAAGCTTAGATGGACGAAGAAGCGTCCCAGAACCGCCATGGATGAAGGTCATTGCCCAGTGGCGCCGACCATCTACAATAAAATAAGACGGGAGATTGAGTGAGCACTATCGCGCCCCCGAACGTCTCCGGAACTTTAGATGGCCACAGCACAAGATGGCCAGCAGGAGAATCATTCCAATCCCTCCCTCTTGCTGCAAGCGCAGCTTAAGACCTCGTGCTTCTCAGCAGCTTTGCCTCAAGGCGGAGGCTGTGTCGATGCCTCTAGCGTACAGATCCCAGCTACTCAAGTAGTTCCTTCGTCTCCCGCACATCATACCGGGTTTTGGTTGGAGTTTCCCAGGAGGATCTAGCCGGCGTCTTTTTTTACTTGCTGTTTTTATTACAGACTGATCTTAAATATGTACAGTACATTGGAGCCTCACTCCCATTTCCTTGCCATCGCTGACAACGCCATAGTATACGTCGGGGATGGCAATGAGTCAATTTCTCAAGTCGAGAGTCACTGGCCACCATTACTCCAACGATATGTCCAGGCCTATCCATACAGCCTCAAGTGCATTGAGAGTAGTACGGTGCCGAAACGTCCTTACAAGTCAGACCAGCCTGGGAGCATTGTCAGTCAGTCAGTCTGTCAATCAATCGCCATCTTTCTCCAACCGAACACGCATCGGAGATCTCGGAAGGGTTGGGGAGTCATTCAAGGGATTACTCACAGCGCAAGTCGTGCAGCCGGTGTAGCCGTTCCCTCCGCACTGTCCATACTGTGCCACGGCGCATCCGGCAGCCCCACCGGCGGACCCGCCCGCGGCCCCGGCGTCGGGGCTGACGGCGCCCGTGTTGACCGCCGCCGGCGCGGCAGCAACGACGGCACCCAGGGCGCCCCCGGACTTGCAGGTGCCCTCGCAGCCCTCGCACTTGGACCCGGCGACCTTGGTGCTACCCCCGGCGTACACGGTGGGGCCGGGAGCGATGTAGGTGGCCAGGGCGGCGTGGATGTTGACCAGGATGCCCGGGTCGCTGGCCTTGTAGGCGCCGGGCAGCTTGACGAGGTCGGGCTTGGCGCTGCCGCCGCCGGAGACGGTGATCTGGTAGCAGCTCATGTACAGCTGGGCTCCGCCGCTGGAGCCGGCCGTGTGTAGGGCGAGTGCCTCGGCGCGCAGCAGGTAGTCGCCCGCCTCGATGTCCGCGGGGATCTTGACGTCCAGCTTGCCGCAGCACGTGTTGAGGTCCTTGGTCCCCCAGTAGTCGTCGTCGGCAGAGTTGCCGCCCTCCTTCTTCGCCCACGAGTCCTGGTAGATCTTGAACCAGCCCGTCGAGCCGTCGGCCGTGCTGGCGTCTGGCACCTTGGTCAGGTACGCCATTACGGGGCCGTAGTGCGCGCCGCCGATCGCCTCATTTCCGCACGCACGGTCCCCGGGTTGCTGTGGAGGAGATCGTCAATCATCTAGTGTCCCTCTCTTCGCGAAGTTGAGGGGTATTTACCTGGTGCATCTCGATGGTGACTGACCCGCCGGCCTTTACTGGGCATTTCGCATTGACCGGCTTGGTCCCCGCGTTACACCGAAGTTCGTTGCCGCCAACGTTGGTGACGGGTGTGTTTGACGTCGGCATGCGGACGCATTGTGACCCGTGCTAGGACAGTTAGCAACGCCCGACGACTTTGCCAGGGGATCGTGGAGACTTATCATGTCGACGCCATCAACCCACAAGTCCTGGAAGATGGCATGACTGGAAACCTTGGCGACAAGAGCCGCAAGGACGATAGAGGCTCCTGACTTCATGGCTGGCTGGGATGTGGGATGTATCCTGGGGGAGGGGGTCGGTCACTACGGGCAGTATTGACTAGAGAGTAGGGCCAGAAGTGGTGAGAGGGATAAGGAGGGAGAAGGGAGGACAGACACTCTGCCAATATATACCGCGACTATAAGCCTTCCCGCGTCTTTCCCGCCATGCAAGAGGGTCGTCATAAGATCCGTGCAATCAAAAATTCTCGGTTGAAAACGCGACCGAGAAGGGTATCCGGCTTCTCGAATGCCCACGTCGACCACCCACCCCATATCCCCCATATAGCGTCCTCCCTTACCCCACGCAGAATAGGACCGTTCGGCGGCAGCCATACCCCAGGTTTGAGCACATTCGGTTGCAGAGAAGCAATTTGTATTCCCTAACCACGAGGTCGGCAGTGGGGAGGGTGCGCGAGATACCATTGGGTGCGATGCTTCACGTCAATATATACACCCAATTTACCCGGCACTGCGGCAACCAACACCGGCTTGGATCCCGCTCGACGTCGGCAAAAGTGGCGCTGGACGTCTTCTAACTCTGACATATTAGGATGGAGGGACACATGCCGAGCGGGCAGGGAGGCTGGATCTGGGGGGAGGGGTCAATTAGAAGCCGCCATACACGTTCATTCTGCTCCTGAGTCGAGGTCATGTGAAAGGAAAGATCTGCCATTGTTGTTCCAATGAGTTCCCCGGTCCCATGGCAAGTTCGGAATGAAAATGTGAGGTTCCCGACTCTACAGTTCCTGGCATAGCTCTCCAGTCAATGCCCCTTACTCGGTTTGAGTACCGCGGCCAAGCCATCTGACGACACCCATCCATGTAACCTTACATGCCCTACCGCCCTTGGCCTCAACCATTATATAACCAATTTCCGCCGGTGGCTGAGATGAGATCATGTGTCTTGGCTACATGGCAGACGGGACAAGGCAGCGAACCAAGATCCAACTGTTAGATCTAGATAGCCCCCACAACTATCTCTGTCAATAATACCCCCCAGGTTAAGGGGCTACAACCCTTCCGAGTCCTTACGCACAATATAATTTCCCGGGAAGATAGAGGGATATCAGGTAGGTACTTCCTTCTCTTTCTGGAGAGTAAAATACAACATAAAATGGCCGCACGCCGGGAATGCGTAGGAGAGAGGTTGAGTCGAGTTCGAGGGTAGTTAGTCACCTGCCTTGGCTGTAGCCACATAAGAGGGTCCCCAGAAGGTTTCCAGAGTGTCATCAGATCAGTCTGGAAGATTCTCAAATGGTTTTAGTTGGGCAAAAGACTATATCGAAGCTTATGCTCCCCAGCTGGTTCTGCCGATCAACTTGTTGGAAAGACTTCACAAGGTCCAACGCATCATACAACTGTTGCCATGCGCAGCTCTAGAGAACACATTCCCAGAGCAAAACCAAGACCGAAACAAAAGACCGGAACACAAAGTTATCGCTGTAGCTTCTTCATATATGCATGTGCTGTTTTCTACTATGCGTCACAGGTGGTACCGCGCCGGCTAACTCCTACCATGGAAGTGGTAAACAACTGATAACGATTGAGACGCCTATGACGACGGCGATTGCAATGGCAGCGTACTTCTGCAAGAGAATGGCAATAGTAAAGCAATATAGAGACAGTGATAGAGACAGCGACACCGGCAGTGAACAACAAGGGCGAAGGTGACGGCTTTTGGCAGCCCTGCCAAGATGTAACTTCACCTGGCAACACCCACTCGCCTGGTGCTGCCACTTGCGGCGCACAGATCCCTTGCACCTCTAGAAACCGGTGATCATCTGTGAAGCCCACTCCGCTTTTCCCCTTCCCGTCTTCATCACATGGAGCAGTATTGTGGAGAGACTCAACGAAGCAAGCGCGCCTACAGACACAGGACCACAAGTCGGAGCGACTCTGACGGGTCCGATACGGATACTGGTTCAAACGAAAACCCATCTCGTCCCGGGCGACGAATACGCAGAGAGAGTGATGCTCATGCGAAACATTATTTGCCAGCACACCTGGAACCGCGACTTCGATTTCAGCCAGGACCGCTGGAATGTGTGTGGCGACTGGTTTGCTTACGATAACCGTAGCTGCTACTTCCTCGTTGACCATGGTTAGTCGCCCCCCACCGACGATCCACCCTTTCTCTGGTATCGGTGGACGGGAAAGTCCCTGTGAGGGAACCTCCCCTTCCCACAACGCTCCCTTGACATCCGTCGTTCAAGACGACTGATAGCAGCCCCGCAGCGTTGCCATTCAACACGCCCTGCCTGCAGAGCTACAGGCTAGGCTCAGGGCTTTTCCATTCACAAGGCAGCCAACTCGACGACCGCCAGGAAGGGCGCCTGTGCAATTTGACCCTGTCCGCAGACGTGAGATTATCCGAACGAAACTACGATCCAACATGAGGATTATAAACGACGATCTCAAGTTCTTGAGGGAACATCCCGAGCATGCGAAATGCCTGAGAGACAGCATCGAGCCCAGGCTTTGGTCCAAGGTCGGATCCGTCTGCGATTCGCAGGATGGCGAGGAATAATCCGATGCTGCCACGAGAGACTGGATCTACAACCCCGGAGTGGGACATATACATTTGGCCTGGCGGTCAAGAAGAAGGAGGCTGCTTCCAGGGGCCGCATGAGCTTCGGAGGGGGGGTATGAGCCTACGGCCCTATCGACCACCACCTGGACAGGCCGAGGGACGTCTCGAATCATTTGGTCCCTAGCTCTTCACCCTCAAAATAGCCAGGGATCACGAGAGAGTATTCGTCTGTGCGAAGGCTTCGGTCTCATCACGATGGCGCAGCCGGCAGGAATCGAAGGTTGACAGTGTTGCCCGACGTCTTGTGGGTGTCTATTGTCGTTCCTCCCTTGTTCCGGTTTGGCCAAGGTCAATCTGCACATGCGGTGGATTTCGTTTCCCGTACTACTAGGAGCCAATGTGGCAGATCGGGGAGTCGAAAATTACCGTACTGCAGGCACAGTGAGCTGGATCTTGTGGACAAGCATTGGCAGAGTTATTTGCTGCCCGTGAAGGGCACGACCAATTCGGGAGTGGCAGGGTTGTATGGCGAAACTTTGACAACCCAATTGAGACTGGGCTGCTTGACGGCATCCCTTGAGGAAGCAATCAAAAGTCTGGATGACTGACGGCTACTCAGCGGATGTAGGGTGTCGGATTTAATACCCTTATGGTGCTGCAGGTCCAGGGCGAACTCCCTCTTGCTACCGACGACGTCATCCTGTACTGGAGACCTAGTGACCGCACTGTCCGGCAGTAGAAGCGGTCTTTAACTCCCCAGCCTAGAGTTTGCAGGTAAAACCTGCATCGGTGACGCAAACACGTTATTTTGATATAATTCAGTTCCTCTGGCCTCTTTTGCCTTTCCTTGAACAAGAAAATACGAGGATATGGTGGCCGAACCGTGATCCGAAAGTCAGAAGTACCACATGTACAGTAGGTACATTACCATACCAAGCATCCACCCCGCCAAATCCCACATCCCCCAGACTTTCCAATCTTCAAATCCATCCCCCAAACAGAGCCCCATTGATGATAACAATCAATTCCATCCATCTCCCTCCCTTCAAATATCTGCAATAACGTCCTTTCCCGCCTGACCCAAAAATCCCAAAGAAAACAAGGATTCCAAAACCCCCGATGATCTCAGATCTACCACTCCAGCCAAGCAAGCCACACAAAAACTCTAACCACCTTAAGCTTTTCCCAGTAGCGCACGTTAGCCTAGGCAGGCAGGTACCCAAAGTACAGTACCTACCAGCTTGACTCCCGCCCCCCTGCCTCCTGCCCTGTAACATCCCCCCTCCAAGGCTAAAAAGGGAAATTTGTGACTTGCGAAAAGGAAAAATAAAATAAAAAATGACATCACCCCGCTGGCGGGCCGTCCTGCGGGTCCCGCTCGCAGCGCTTGTCGATCGGCCGCGCGCTCGGGAATGCCAGGGGTGTGCGAAAAAATGACACCATGATCTGCCTCTCCTGCTTTGCTGGGCTGCAGCGTAGGGCTGAGGCAAATGGGTGATGCGCCCGTTTTAGCGCTGCTTGGGTTGGGCTGGGGATGGTTACCGCGGCTGGGTTCACTTGTGCAATGAGATACCAGTTTGTGTGTTTATAAAAGTGTGCATTGTCAATTCGCCTGTGACGGCGAAGCTGCCCTGCGTTGGGAGTGGTCCAGGACCAGACCCTCGCGCAAAGGGAAGACGAATCGAAACTATCTAGCCCATCAGAACCCCAAAGATACCGACTCATTCTAGCAGGCAGGACCGTATATCCATTGCTCGAAATACAACGCTTCGGGCCCTCATACTTGGCCGCCCACAAATGAAACGCAGCAGTCTGATATACTGCAATACCGAATGCCCTTAAAAACATGATAGTATTGGTGGGATACCAATCTCTCACTGCTCGTCATGCGAAGCAGGAGGGGGAACATCTCAACGCCGACCTTACATGCAGGGGTCCCAGTGACAGGATTAAGAGAAAAGATCCGGCCGGCCAACCCAAATAGCCAGCGCCCATGTGCCAAGAAGCCCAACAGGGCATTGAAGGGCGGAAAACCAGAAAACCAACCCATCGAGACCGACCATCAACCAATTAACAGGATAGAATGCGAGGGTGGAAATAGGACCGGGAAAAAAAAAAAAAACGCTGAGTGGAGTGACAAAAGTTCGCTGGGCAAGAGTATCCTCTCTTCCCACCTATCTAGACGGTGGGTGGGGATCGGTGATGTATTGCGCTGCGTTGCGTCACACCCCGGGTATCATTGATATTGGAATGAGAACCCCCCAAATGCTGGAGTTCGAGGAATGGGAAATGTGTCGTAATCCGTGATGTGATGCCAAGACGTGACCGGGGAAAAGGGAAAACCATCGACCAAATGACAAAGGGAAGGCAAAGTGGGGGGTGGGTATCATGGCCAATCTGATGGCGATGGTGACCGAAAACCGAATTCATCCGTGCCCAATTGATGCCGCCGAACCATGCAAAGGGGATAGAACAGGGAGTAGAGAGGAAAACGCCGAGTCATTGATCATCCATCCAATCTCATGTCCAGTTCCGTCAAGGTCGTGAGCAGAGAGGTGGCCGACCGTTGGTGAACGGTGGGAACTGGGTGCTTAGGGTGTGTGTGGGCTACATGGCCTTGAGGTGCCTGCCCATCCAGTGGAGGTCCAACCAGCCAACCTTCTCGAACGCGGTCCAGAGCTTCGATGCCTTGTTGACATCAATCTTGCACGCCTGTTGGGCATCAGTCTTCCGGAAATCTTTGGGCATTCTTGCGCACTCGAGGCGGCGGATGAAGATGCGCCGCTTGCTGGTCAGGTATGTAGCGCAATCCAACCGCAGGCTCGCAGCCAGGGCAATCTCATCGGCATGGAGACGCCAGGCGTTGGGGTCCTTGCTCAGGTCGAGCGGATTGCCCTTCCATTCAACCTTCAGGCTGTTCGCTTTGTTGGGGAGCGACGAGATGGGCGGGGAGTAGTCCGGCAACGAGTCGAAATCCTTATCCTCTCGATTGGGCGCCACAGTTCGAGCTCGCGGCTCATCAGGCGTGGTGCTCACACGGATGGTGGATCGAACCGCTCCTGGTGGCGTTGTCCGAGCCTGCCGCACGGTTTGCTTCGGCTGCTTCGGCTGCTTCGGTTGCTTGGGCCTCTCTGGCTTCTGAACCTTAGTGGCATGGTTCCGAATGGGTTGCGGCCTCGAGGCCAACGGCCTTGCTGCGAGGATTGGGGCGAGTCTGGAGGGGCCGCGGCCAGCCAGGGTCTTCCTGTCGGCAGCCAAGAGCTCGCGTTCCTTGCGCAGCCATCCCTGAGGGCTGGCCATGAACTTCTTCAGGACCTCCGACTGGAAGAACAGCGCTAGCTCGTATTCCTCCCTCTGGGGTGGCGTCGCTCCCCGATTGAAGAGTGCCGCGGGTCGTGCCGCGAGATGCTCGTCAACCAACCTCTGTGTGTCGCTGTGGAAGGAGGACTCGCTCGGACTGAAGAGAGGGTTGGGCGGGCTCGGTGCGACGTCTGAGGTTGGATAGAGAATTGGGTCCTTGACGGGCGCAGTCAATGTCGGCTCGGGGCTGATATTGTTGCTTGTCTTGGTGAAGGGCGAGATGGGTGGCGAGAGGGGAGGATTTGGCACTTGGCGCTTCTCTGTCGTCGGCCGCTGCATCGTGCCAGAGACTGATGAGGATGCTGGATTGAAATTCTCGTAGAGGACCGGCTCGGGTGGCGACATCAAGTTGCTGATGTCCAACGCCTTCTTCGACTCGGCGGCCATTGACGGGGCAGCGGGGGTTGATGGCATATCCTTGTGGTTGTTGTTGCTGTTGTCCTTTGTGGGAGTTTGAGGAAAGCGAGAAGAGGACGATGCGGAGGGTTGGAATTGAGTTGCCATTGCAAACGGAGTGTTGTGCTGGTACAGAGGCGTGGATGGGATTGGTTTGTCAGCCACAGGTGTTTGTGACTGACGTGTTTGCGGTTGCGCGGAGTGGCGAAGCGCAGGCAGCAGCATCAATTGAGGGCGACTGACGACGCAGTGGGCCAACGTTAAATGCGATTAAACCCCGTGCCTGCTGCTAACCAACGTTTTCGAAGGCTTGCAAAGTTGGGGGGCGATGGAGATAGGAAGATTGATGGAGGTCTCGGAGATAGAGGTGCTGGCGGAGTCCGAGTCGCAAAAGAGATGTGATCGGTTTGTTGTTGCGGGGGAGGAGGATTGGGTCGAATTGGAGATGGGGAATTGGTAGAAGTAGTCGGGCAGCTCCAAGGCAGGTTTCCTTTCTCCCTTTGTCGCCTAATTGTTTGGGGCGTTAATAGGTCTGCCTGATGAATGGCACCGAATGCGACAAGCCGACAATTGTTGGCCTTGATATTGATCCACCATTGATTTGGTGACTGATGTATTGTTTTAGCGCGGGGTGGGCCAACAATGGAGCAGGTGGGATGCTATTGTCAGCAAGTTTGGCGAGAGGGGTCGGACGTCGGAGGTCAGGCTCCCTCAATCGAAGGCGATCGAAGGTTAGATGTGGCGTAGCAACCCCTCCGGAAACAGGAGGTGACAGATGGGACAACAGAATTGACAATTGCCAGCACTGAATTGAGGGCCAGTCTCGAAATGAATGAGAGGAAGAGAAGAAAGGATAAGGAAGAGGGAAGAAAGGGATGGAGAGTTGGGCGATGGGCGAGATGGGAAAGGAAGTTCGGGGTGGTACTGAAAAGGGGACAGCAGGAGAGTCAATCAGCAGGCACGAGTGGCCAGGATTGATGGGTGGGCGAGAGGCGGATTAGGGATGACTTTGACTTTCGCGGCGGCCTGACTGGGAGAGTTGGAAGGCACACAACCTTACCTTAACACTCGCTGATGTAGGTACGTCCAGTGTACACAACCCACACCCATGCCCATATGCCCAGGAGGACTGACTGTCCCGGCGCAAAACCGCACGTCATTCGCCCCCAGGCCCCCAGGATATGGACGGTTGAAGGTCACACTGCCTGCATAACTGACGCGTCCTCCATCTCTCTTCTCCTCCTTCTGCGTCTTTCTTCTCTCCTCTGTGCTTTTCCATCTATAGGTACCTTTTCCTTATTGCCACTGGTACTGAGGTTATCTGGTAGGTTTGACACCTCAGATACCTGAAGGTAATGAGTGTGGAAGGTACGGATCCGTACTTGGCTGATGGCGAATGGCAACCCTGGTCGAAGCCAAAGCTACCCACACAATCGTCGCGTCCTGGCTCCTGGATGGGGAGGGGCAGGGGCGTGCAGAGTCTGGGGATGATTCCCCTGCACCCTCCCTGCAAATGGGAGGAGTCATCCAGCGATTTGAGTCACACCCCTCCAAGCCCATTGGAGGCTAGCCAGCCAATCAGAGGGCTTGCACCTGACCAACCCTTGTCGGTTAGGCGAAAACAAGACTGGGGGCCAGGCAATGGCGTGACATGTACTCATGCCCAACGCCAGGTACTTGTGGGTATTTTCTCAAACAACCCAACCCTGGAATGTGCTTCCACTGCCAACTGTCAAGTGGCCTCAAACAACCAAGCTTTCGGCAGTTGGTCTGTGCCCCTTCGCCGTCCAGGTTGTCACGCATCAGTCTTCTGTTATCGCAGTACCACATGTGTACCACGACGCAGAACAAAACCTGCATCTGTGGCATCTGTACGGAGCCTGGTGCCTGAGCTCGTACTGCGGTATAACCTTTTGCCTAGCACCCAACCTGGAGGTAATCATCGCTTGATGAGTACAGGGGGGAACCTCAAAGCCAAAAATGAGGCCTTGAGAGTCCGAATTGAGTACATTTGTGGCTGGCACTGGATTGCATCGGAATGAGCCGGTCGGCGTTAGGGGACAGAGGCTGAGGTGAGAAAGGTGAGGCATGGCAAGCGACCAATGGCTAGGACATGTAACCCTCCCTTTCGCCTGATGGCATGGCTACCTCTAGGCTGAAAGATGCGAGGCATCTTGTGTCGTGCGAGGCCAATTGAGCTGGGACAGGCAATACACAACTTGGGTAGGCAGCCAAGTAGGTAACTGGCAGGCTGAGGGAGAACAATGGCACATGAGATGATGAGTGGGGTGGTATTCGCTGGAAAATGGGCATGGCAGGCCGGCAATACTAGCGATCCATCTCGCTCATCTCAGTGATGGGAGTGTACGTTATCGACAGGGCAAATCTGTTACAGCGGGCATCCAAACTATTGAGCATCGAAGCTGAGTTTGTTGGGGCCGTAGCGTGTGCCACAGAGGATATCTAGGCGTTGGGAATCCTGAGCGATGATTTGTCCGGAACCTATTCCTCGTCTGCGCAAGAGAACGGGGCCCAGGCATCACCAATGCAGGGGGGATTGCGATTGACTTTCGGGGCTGACGCCTCTAGCATTCTCCTCACGCCAAAGCCTAAAAGGCCGACATGAAATGGGTTGGACGCCAGCTAGAGCACTACTCCATCTGCCTTGCGATACTTTGTGAGACTGTTGGCCGTTGGCCGTTGGCCGTTGGGGCTGGATAATCGTGGCGTCTCGAAGAGCCCTTGGCTAGGCCACAAAATTGTAGCCTCTTTGTCTGACAAAGGCGTATCGATTCGTGTAGAATGGGCAGCTACGGCTGAACGGGTCTGCATGCCAGCGTTATTCTTAGAGCGCCTACTTCTAACATTGTCCAGTCGTTAGTCCTGAGGAGAAGCTATGGCCAACAGGGGAGACCCCGGGCGCCGCAATGCTGGGAAGAACACACAGCAAAAGGAAGGAGGAAAATGTTTCGCACTGGTTAAATCTCTGCTGCGATCGGCTAGCTACCGCAGCAGTGTTGGCTCAATTGACCACAATTGAGCCTTCCCCGACGCACGAGGGCGGATTGACTCTGAATAACCCAAATGGGGGTGCTCTACGTGTCGAGACGGGAGAGCAGGCTCTGGGTTCGTGGAGGCTGACTTGTCCGGCGATGCTGCAATCCAGCAATGCCACCTGGAACCATGTGGATTAAAGAAAGTGTGGAACGTGAATTGGCCAATTGGAACAGAGCCTGGCCAGGCAGACAAAGGCAATCCTTGTGCACGCCGCAGACGTGGTTTGAGAAAATGGACTCTGTGGGAATCGTGAGCCCCGGAAAAAAAGGTGTGACTCATAACAACAAAGCCGCCAGAGGAAGGACGAAACTTTGCAAAGGGGAGAAAACGGTGATGGAATTGAACTTGGGTGTGGGCGAATAATTCCGGAATTGAAACACCATATCCATTTCAGGTTTAGCCTGGCCATTCTCCCTCTTCTACCAGTATCGATAAGAGACTAGAGGTACTTAGGTACCTAGGTAGCTCAAAGTCACAACTATGAGTGCTAACGATGCACTGTTGAAAGGGATTCTATTGGCTGTATCTGTACACTGACTTCAACTGCACTTCCATCCTCTCAGCCAACTTTCGTATCTGGCTTACCACGGATGCCGACATGTACTGTTATGCCAGGACGAACTCTTGGCTCCAAATGGACAACCCAAACATGGCAAACATATCGATGGTCCTGCGTTCGCACTGCTTTCGGACGCCCAGCACTGCCTCGGCAGCATTCGTCCCATGCAATGCCGCAAAATGGTGCCCTCTTCGAATATACCTCGGGGCGGTGGATGTAAGCTCCAGATCATTACGTGTATATAAATAACATTTTGCACGCGACATCTAATCAGCTCCTTTAGATATAACGATAGTCTCCGCCACGCAGAACGCAGAGGGGTCTTCAACATCGATGAGCTGAAACGACTTGCTGCGGCCGCTGTCAACCAGAAAGCGGCCTCTTTTCCAAGCAGCCGCTTTTCCAAGCAGCCGGTCGAGCGGCGCTGACAGAATGCTGGCCGAGGGAGGGTTTAATCGTACCTTTCTCATTACCATGCGCGATGGTTTTCAGTGTGTGGGGCGCATTCCATACGCCATTATCGTTCCCAAGTACTTTGCTGTGGCGAGTGAAGTGGCCACGATGGACTTCCTTCGTGCTCATGGCCTACCGATTCCTAAGATTCTTGGATATTCCGCTTCAGCTGACAACTCGGCAGGCACCGAGTACATTTTCCTGGAATTTATTCGGGGCATGAACCTAGGCGACGTCTGGTTTGACCTGTCAGAGGCCGATATGGCTGTCGTCGTTCGGCAGCTTGTCGAGCTCGAGTCAAAGCTTTTTTCTATCACCTTGCCTGCTGGTGGAAGCCTATATTATACGAGTGACCTTGATTGTATGGCCTTATGCACTCCTGTCACGGGCAATGCAGCAGTACCAGATGGACGCTTCTGCATTGGTCCAGATACAAACGTCCCCTTGTGGTATGGCAGGCGGTCCAAGTTGACTGTGGATCGAGGACCTTGTAAGTCAGCTCTCTAGTCACTGCAACTGCCTGTGACTAGCAAAGTGTAGACCTCACCCCTGAAATGGCGCTCGTTGTCGGTGCGAAGGAGATTGCCTTCCTACAGCAATTTGGACAGCCATTGCAGCCGTTTCAGCGGGTGCGGAGAGAAGCGTATGGATACCAGAAACAAATGCCGTCTGATCACAATCGAAAACATCCACCGTTATCTCGCCATTTCTCGCTTCCTCGTCCCAGAGGACCCAAATCTTCGGGTTTTCAAGACCCGCCACCCCGACTTACAGCCCAACAACATCATCATCTCCAAATCGCGCGAGATCAAGATATCCAGCATAATCGACTGGCAGCACACGTCGATCCTGCCCTTGTTCCTCCTCGTCGGCATCCCCCAGAAGCTGCAGAACTATGACGACCCGGTCTCGCGATCCATGGCGCCGCCCACACTGCCCAACGACTTCGCCGAGCTGGACGAAACGCAGCAGGCAAAGGAGATGGAGCTATTCCGTCGCCGACGACTCCACCACCACTACGTCTCGGAGACGGAGCGGCAGAACAAGCCGCACTACGCGGCGCTGACCGACCCCGTCGGCATGCTCCGCCGCCGCCTCTTCCGCCGCGCCGGCGATCCCTGGGAGGGCGAGACGTTGCCGCTCAAGGCCGACCTGATCCGGGCGGCGGGACACTGGGCCGCCGTCGCGGGCCACCGCCGTGGACCGGTTCCGGTTTCGCAGCCGCCTCCGTGTCCGATCGCCTTTGGGCCGGAGGACGTCTGCGTGACGATGCGGCTGCAGGAGGAGCAGGACGAGGCGGACGGGCAGATGGAGGTGTGTCGGGACCTCATTGGGTGTGGTCCCGAGGGCTGGGTACCAGTGGAGCAGTACGAGGAGGCGATGGCGAGGTGTCGGGCGTTGAAGGCGGACTCGTTGGTTAAAACGAGCTCCGAGGATGAGAGGGCTGAGGTGCTGGCACATTGGCCGTTTGACAATATGGATGAGCAGGATTATATGTAGGTGGTCTACTACCTACAGTGGCGTGTTTGTTATAGCTGGTTTAGTCAGGGACCCCTTTTCCAGGCCACCCTCCGCTCCACCTTCTAGGTAAGGTCCATCAATCCCAATCTGTGCCACGAATTGCGGCAGTGCTACAAAGGCATCACTGGGATTCGAAAGGGCAGATCTCTAGCATCCACTCTCTCGGTTTATAAAGTGCAAAGTGAGGCCAGAGATAACACTTGGAGTCGGCCATTTCAAGGGCGTGTGAAGATATCCAGACTCAAGAGCGACTAGTGCCGCATAGAGAAAAGCAGATTGCGTGTACACGAAGTACCTCCCTTGTAACTTTCCAAAGTTGCGCACCAAGGAAAGGAGGGTCGCCTTGCAGGTCAGGTGGGCGGGCCATAGTGCCCACCATAGTGGCCACCATGACACCCCCTTCTCCCCCAACCCAGGAGAACTCTTATCGTAGAGGATTTCCCCAAGCAAAGCTAGGTTGGTCACCGCTCCCTTTCTTGAAGGCAACCCTTAACCCCGTTAGCTCCAAGATGAATTGACGCCATTGCGACTCAATTGGAATCATGGTGCTGCCTAAGACTTTCGGCCCCAGGGATAACGCAGGATCAATTTTGATGCCGTGTAACTATGATGAAAGCAACATCTACCAACAGCACCCGACCGGTGCTGATTGATCATCCCTTGCAGCGACTGTGCCGGACGGACATCGGAGCCGTGTCTCTCGACGTCACGGGCCCGCCTCACCGCCATCTCTGCCGATTCACACGGCCCGGCGCGCCAGTTGCCAACGGCACCAAGCTAAGGGTCTGGCTCGACAACTAACGTTCTTGGTGGTCCCACGAAGGAATCAATATGGATCACCATTTGGGCCGACTCAATGCGAAGTTGGAGACTTGTCTATCTTCCTACGTAATGAAAACAACTGGAAAGTATCCATTCCGCAGTCAGTGGAGGCCAATATTGGCCGACAAAAGTCGCAACTTCACCACGTAAGTACCTTAGGTACCACCTGCTAGCGGACAATTATGACATGTGACACACATGCCGCGCCTGTTGGGGCAGACGGGGCTCTCTGTGCTGCTTTCTCTGTTGAGAAAGGATTTGTATCGGGGAAGTAGAAGGGGTATTCCCATCAATATTATACTGGAATTACAAGGCGCATTCCTGGATCTCTTGATTGCGCATATGTTGGTGTTACTCCAGTCCCAAGTTGGTCCAGGAGGAGCCATTGGCCATTCTCATCCAGCACGCCCTGCCATCCGTACTTGCAGATGGCGCCAACGCAGCAAGGCAGCATAACTGTTGGCTGTTGTGGCCCACTACTGCGGGGGAATTAACCAACCGACCTGCGCAGGGCGTGTCGCCGATGATCGGTGTTCACAAGGCGCCAAATCAGACAATCCGATATCCACGAGGTACAGTACATATCCGTAGATCTTCCTGAATTGAGGACGTCTTTGGGCGAGGCGCATTCCTTCCGGGATAAGAGGGGCCAAAAAGAAGAGTGGAAAGGGAGATCGCGACGCAAGCAAACAAATTCATCCCTCAATCACTTCCACACTTTGCGAACAGGCCGTCGCAAAATAGGCCGCTTCCCCGACGGCAGCTGCGAAGGATTGGGGCCCATAGGCATTCCTCCCGCATCGCCTCCCTGCCCGTTGGACGAAGATCGACGCAAGGCTCCAGTCGCTCCGCAGATCGGGCTGGCGGGTACCTGACAGCTGACAGTGCAGCGTTGCTGTTTTTCGACAGGAGTTACATCGAGATACAAACGGCAGTCGAGCTGCACATTTACGTCCCTATATCAAACGCCCGTATATCGACATGAGTTTCGCCCCCTCTCTCGCGCTCTCGAAAACGTGAAACATCCCCGCTATCCCCACCACCTCAATGGAACCTTCCAACAACTTTCTTCCGTGTCGGCGGTTAGTTTTACGGTCTGAGACCACCCACGCAGTCCTGCGACCTGTTTCTCCTTGAGGCCCCCCACCCAAATCCAAGACACAACCGCCTTCGCCCCCGTCACGCGATTTGCAACGACCGGCACGGGGACTAAGGTGTGCCCCCGTGCCCTTTCGTCGTCACCTAGTCGTGTGGGGACGGAATATCGGGGTCTCGGAGGAACTGATCGATTCTTCCCGTGGTCTTTCACTTTCTTTTCTCAATACCCTGCTTTGGGGCCTTGGCTTGTCGCCTCGCAGATTGAAACTCGCCTCCGCCGAGAGGAGTGGGGTGCCCTGCGAGCTGGGTGGCTCGTAGAGAGCCAGGACAAGCAGGTTTTCCCCAATGGCCCCTACCTTGCAGATGCGCACTTCATCCATAGCAACCCGTAGACTGATCGGTACTGTGAATATAGAGCCGCAAAACCTCCGTAGAGGCCAGGGCTCGTAAGATTTTAATAAGCTGGATGGATGCCTCTCCTGGCCTACGTAAAGTCGTAAACCATCAAACTCTCCCCCCCGCCCTTCCTCTCCTTCAGCACAATCACCATCTCGTCGTCAAACCCGACCCAGTTCCGCCTCTCATCCCAGCCATATCCATAGCCATAGCCATCCCCCGCCTCGCCCCCGCCATCGTCGGCGCGTGTCAGCGGCGAAGACGACTGGTAGCCACCACCACCGGGCCTGATCTCGACGCTCCGGCCCGCCCCAACACCACCATCGCCACCGCCGCCGCCTCCCGACCCAGCGGCACTTCGCCCGCCCTCGAGCTCCCAGACGCGCATCTCCTCGCCGCGCGAGCTGACGCTGACGGCCTTGCCGCGGGCCGTGATCTCGGCGTCGCTGATGCCCGAGGTGTGGCCCCACAGCCGGATCCCCGGCGAGACGTTGAGCGACGAGGCCGTCGAGGTGCAGAGGTGCAGGACGAGCGTGTTGTCCGGGAGGGTGGCCAGGAGGTACGGGTGCGTGTAGCAGAGGTTTGTGGGGCCGGGCTCGCTGCGGTTGGTTGGGGTGGGTGTGGGTGTGGGTGTGGGTAGTGGTTGTGGTGATGTAGAAGGTGATGATGATGGGGATGTTCGTGACGAGTCGGGGTTGACCGGTGTTTGGCCGTGTCGGCGGGGAGGCGTTGCTGGTGGTGATGGGTTCCTGTAGGATGGTGACAACCCGGAGTCAATCGGAGTCGTATATGCGAGTCGGGTGGTTGTGATATCGGGGGCTGCCTTGAGCTTTGTCGAGCGGTGCTTGATGTGTAGGTCTTGCAAGCCAATCGACCAGCCTTGGCGCGTTGAGAAGGTGTAGGCGATGGAGGCAATAGTTGTCGTAGTGCCGGTTTTCCGTATCGACAGGGCCAGAGGTGGTCGTGAGGTACGCGACTCGAGAGATGTTAATAGATATGGTGCGGGCAACACATCTTCCCCTGTCTGGGACGTGCTCTCCTTGTCAGTTTTGGGTCCCTCCACACCGCCGAGACTCTCTGGAAGCGCCTTTTCTGACCGCTGCCTGGGTCCGCGCTGGGTGCCCTCTCCCAAGTCCGGTCCGCCATCAAGCCCGTCGCCCGGTATTTCGAAGGTATATAGAGAGACGAGAACCGACTCAGTTGCCGTAAGTAGATAGGGGTACGAGAACGCCATCCCGATTATCTCGCCGTTCATGGATTTCCGGTGCCGATACTGCCGTTCAAGTTGGCCTCCCTTAATGTCTAGTCGCCAGACTCCAAAGCTGCCGTCCAGAAAGCCAACCGCAATGCTGATGGCCATATCGTCGAGTTCCCTGTCATCAATGGCCAGGCAGCTCGGCGCCGAATCCTCCCCGCCCCCGCTGTTACCGAGGCTGGCGTGCGCCAGGATCTCGCGCGTCTTCAAGTCCCAAGCGCGCAGCCCCGACGCCCTGTCGGCCGTGATGGCCACGCCCTCGACGACCTTGACGAGCATCTTGCGGCCCTCGTGCGCGTCGGCCGTTTCGCCGCCTATCCTGAGCTCTTCCACCGCGCATTTCCCCCTCGCCCAATTGTGCCGGAGCTTGTACTGCCGCTTCCAGTTGACCCTATCATGCTGCGCATCCCGACCCCAGAGGCCCTCTCCCCCCTGGCCGCCTGCAGACTCGCGCGCCACCAATCCTCCCCTGCGCCCGTCCGCCCACAGCGCCCGCCGGCCTGAGTAGTGCAGCTTATGGCCGCCACTCGCGCCGCCGCCCACGGCTCCTCCTCCCCCCCCGCTGCTGGCGTCGCGGGCGGCCCTAAACCCCGGTATCCTCATGGCGCGCGGCAGCACGAAGCGGGCGTAGTACAGGGCCTTCCACAGCTGCGAGTCGGCGGCGAGGGAGTGGAGGCGGCGCGAGACGGGCGCGACGGCCAGCAGGTGCGGCAGGGACAGGAGCGAGAGGATGCGCACCAGCAGCTCGTCGGATAGCGCGGAGAGGAGGTCCGGTCCCGCCCTCCGCCCGATCGGGGGCCGCGAGAGTCGGGGCCGCTTGGATGGGGTCGTCCCCCTCCCGTCGTCGCCTTCCGAGGCGGCGGGTGGCGGTCGCTGGCGCTTCAGCTGCATCGTGACGCGGGTGAGCGGATCGTGGACCCCACGTCGGGCTTGTTTGAATGAAGGTCAGCTTCTCCCGCTTTCGCTGCGTTGGATTTCCGAAAGGCGAAGATTTGTTGCAGTCTTCATTTCAACATTGGGAAATGGCGGCGTGTGGCGTGGCTAAGGTGGGGCCGGAGACGGGCGGGACGTTGGTTGACAGTACGAACCATTTCTGACACTGTCTGACCTTGAAGTTGCCCATCGACGGGGCACGAGGTTAGTCTTATTGTACCTCTATATCATATACAGCGCTTGCAGGAGAATGGCACTGTCGTGCAGATAAGATATGTTGCCACGAGAGAGGTTAGAGACGGGACTCTTGACGATCAGTAGCCACATGAAAGCATAGAAACATTCTCTCCTTTTACTCCCGAGTTTACCAAAGAGATACCGCGTCAAGAGTCGACGTCAAGAACCAAAACCTTCCCTTTCCGGCAATATCCAACGAGAGTGGCAGAAATAATTCTGGAGCTATGATGACAATGCCGTTGACGGTATATGAAGTCCGCATTTTCTCAACAAGCAGGTTTGACAGTCGATTCACCAGATATCTAAGCTTGCGATCCCAGCACCCTCAACCCCACCACAACGGCCCCAAACACCTACCCCTCCTCGTTGACAATAGGGACACCCGGCCGCCTCGAAGCTGCACGGCACTTACCTATTTATTTTGACCGACCCACTCACTTGATGTATTTGTGCATATCGTAGGCTGCTTCCCACCCTCTCTACTGCTTGACGGGTCTGCATTTCCACAATGCGCTTCTGGAACTGCGCCATTGCGGGATACCCAAAGGCTGCCGCCATAGATGTTGGTGGTTGCGAGGAGTGCAAGTCCATGTCCTGCGCAACACACATTGGGTCATCATTGCATATCTGCAAGGTAAGATACCCACGTCTGTGTATGGAGCCACTGATCTGAAATTAGGATATAAGAAAGGACCCCCCTCGATGACGATGCCTGGCTAGCAGCCTAGACAGAAGAGTTGGTCGCCCTCAGTAAGAAGACTAGCCACGCGGCCCTTCTACGGCACGCAAAGGAGCTTTCCGGCGGCCTGGACTGCCATCTAGATGACGAAGATACTCTGGGACGCCGTCAAATGGGCGGCATGCATATCCATCTCCAGCTAATGTTTGAGGATGGGACTGTCTGGCTGGTTCGAATCCTCCGAGAGAGGCACACGTCTTTCGACGATGAACTCAGCAATCAGATCATCGTCAGTGAGTGTGCGACTCTCCGATGGTTGGAGTCTCTTGACGTACCCACGCCGCGACTCCACGAGTACGGGCTGCGTGGCGATCCGCGGAGTGAGGTAGGTGTCGCGTACATGATTATTGACAAACTACCTGGCCAGCCTTTCGACCCGTGGGCAGCCTCGGAGAGGCAAAAGTCAAAGGTGCTGGGCCAATGGGCTGATGTGCTCTGCACCTTGGGCAAACATCCTCTCGACAAGATTGGATCGTTCAAGTTTGAGGCAGATGGGGCAATCGAAGTCGGCCCCATTGCGAGCGATAGGATTGGGACGCTGCTTTGCATAGGTCCCTTTGAAGATGCGAGAGGCTTCTACAGCTCCTGGGCCAACACATATCTCGACCTCATCACCGATGGCCAACTCTTCTCCCTTTATCCCATCGACGCGTACCTGATTTTCAATTTCCTGGCAGAGCAGGCCACGGCCGGTCCTTGGTTCGAATAATGGCAGGACCTCAACTCGGGGCCCCTTTTCCTGAAACATGCTGATGACAAGGGAGACCATATTCTTGTCGACGATGACTTTCGAATCACCGGCATCATTGACTGGAGTTCCGCGAGGGCGGTCCCGGCATATGAGGCTTTTGGCCCTTCGCTTGTGTCTGCAAACACCACCGATCTCTTCGGCGGCAACACAGGGCTGAGTGAAGAGGATAGAGCCCTGGGCCGAAAGTTGCAGAGTCGTGGAGCGTCGCACTGCTACTTCGAATCGGATGAGATGCGACGACTCGTCTTCGGCCCAGGGACGGGATTGGGGCTGACAGAAGACGAGGCTATCGACGTCTTCCGAGGTCTTGTGGCCACCTTTGAAGGCACTATGCCCGACTGGCAAGAATGGCGGCGAGCCAGTCTAATCAGGTGGGCAAACGATGCTCGACTAGCCGACCTTTGCCAAGCGTCGCTGGGGGAGACGCCACTCAGTCGTTCGGTGCCTGCACCGAAAGTTCCTCGTTTCGCCACTTGCTCCCACTCGAACTGCGATCGGTCAAGCGTCCGCGGCCGGAGCTGCCCAACCTGTCTAAGCCATCTATGTGCTGTCCATATACTCTCTCGGCACCACAAATGCCCATCCACTTCCCTGGTAAGTAACCGGAATTCCTGCTCCGTATGACCCAGGTTACCACATCCATTAACGAGAACCAAGCTTGACGATGCCGCCTGGGAGAAGAGTATCAATGATGAGGTCGATGCCCTTCTTGCCCGGGTCGATGCCCCCGAGCTAGTCCGCGTAGCTAGCTCTCTCCGCAACGGAACGGCCGGCAAGTTAATTCCCGGGAAGCACCTCGGAAGCGGCGCCATCATGGGCTGCGCAAATCATCACTCCTGGATTGTCTTCGACGATGGAGTCAAGTGGCTTGCTCGAATTCCTCGGACCACGGCTTTTAGCGACATTCCTCAAGACCTCATTGACTACCTAGTCGAGAGCGAGTACGCAACTCTCAAGTTGTTGGAGGATCTCGGCGTGCCTGCTCCCAGAGGTCACGGATTCGGGCTTTCCTCTGACCCTGAAAACTTGGTCGGGGTAAGCTATATAGTTGAGGATGCCATGCCGGGCCAGCCCTTTGACGTTTATCAAGCAACGGCTGAGCAAAAGTCGCATGTTTACGACCAACTCGCCAACATTCTCATCGCAATCAGCCACCTCCCCGGCAAGCAAGCCTCCTCCCTTCTTCCACATGGCGAGAAAACCAAAGAGGCCGCCATCGCGAGCGACCGGTTCCTGTCACTCGGAAAACACGGGCCGTTCGCCGATCCGCTCGAATACTTCACCTCCATCGCAGACCTCCACCTTGACCTAATCGCCGACGGCCAGCTCCACCCGGAATACCCCAGGGAGGCATTCCTCTTCTACAGACTGCTCAAGAACCGGGCCGCCTCCGCCCTGGCCTCGGCCGCCGCGTCCACCGGCGGGTTCTTCCTCAAGCACGTCGACGACAAGGGAGACCACCTGCTCGTCGACGAGAACCACGACATCACCGCCGTCATCGACTGGCAGTTTGCACGCCTCTTCCCGGCGTGCGAGGCCTTCGGGCCTTCTCTGGTCACCGCCGACATGGGCAGCCTGTATGGTGGGTCTGCAGGGATCAGTACGGACGACAGGTTTTTAGCGGAGAGTCTGAGGCTGAAGGGGAGGGAGGACCTCGCGGAGTTCGTGGGTGGAAGCGAACTCGCTAGGCGGTTTCACTTTGGCCTTGCTTCGGGACTCTCGAGGAGTGAGGCTCTGGGAATGATTCAGGCTGTGCTGTCTTTGCTTGACGGTGAGACATCTGAGAAGGGACTGGGGGATTGGATGGAGAGGGAGTGGGATCAAGCGGCCGATGACCCACGGCGTGGAAAGATTGAGAACTTGGTGGCAGAACTCGAAAGACAAAAAAGTTAAAAGATACAGGATAGATTGACCAGATCTACCCAAACACATCAGCCATTAGGCGTCATGTCAACATGGAAATAAGTGTACACATGTTCCAATCTCTATATACACGGCATGTGTACCATCAGCAGATCATCATCAATGAGCCGTCACAGGAGCATAACCTGCAGCTCATCCAGTCTTCGGCTTCCCTCGAAACCGTTGCTCAATAAGCACCATCTTCTTCTCTCTCCAGTGCCAAACAGCAGCCATCGCGGCACCGGGACCGACCACAACCGCCCCGAGCCCAATGACCACCAACGCCGTCACCGGCCCCGCGAGCCCCGAACCCCCCAGGCCCCGCTGCACATCCCACACAGCGACCCAACAGCTGGCAAGCGACGAGGCAAAGATGAACCAGGCGTCCCACTGGAAGATCCAGTGCAGGCCGGACGTGGTGCTGGCCATCCACCTGTCGCGGCTGGGCAGGAAGACGTAGCCCAGCGACAGGCGCGGGTCCGCCGAGGCGAGGCAGACGTACGCTGTGCCAACGTGCGCGGCCGCCGAGATGGCGAACGCGGCGAGGTAGATGCGGTTGAGGTGCTTGAGATCCGCACCAGTCGAGGGGGTGGGCCGCCGCCCCGACGACGACGACGACGGCCCGAGCACGAGCGAGAGGATCCACATGGAGACGTTGACCAGCGGGGGCGCGGCTTGCCAGAAGGCGATCAGGTTCTGCGTCAGGTCGGCGTTGGCCCAGGGAAGGTACATGGCGATGGTGGGGACGCAGTACACGAGCACCACCGAGGGCAGGATCGCCTTTGCGAAACAGGGGTGGACCTCCCTGCCTGAGGCGAGGTAGTCCCCCTTGCCCGAGCTCCGGACGAACACGAAGTAGTAGAGCGCCACGATCGGGGCGCCGCCTAGAATCTGGTAGGCGAGGGCCCACAGCATCGTGCTAGTTGTCGAATCCTCGTCTATCAGCCTTCTTCTCTCTAGAACCAGGGGGGCGGGCGGGCGCCAATAGCCATAAAACTCACAACCTGATCACCCTGCGAGCATTTCGCTTCCGACAAGCCTCCACATTCCAGATGAACACCACGCTGGAGAAGTTCACGAGGAAGTGGATCTGCAGGAGCTTGAACCCGTCGTCCAGGCGCAGGGGTCCGGACGCGAACGCGACGACCAGGAAGGACAGCACGTAGTCGAGCCCGGGCACGCCCGTGTACGCCGTCTTCAGCGGGGTGCCGTCCTCCAGGCGCGCCGCGTCGACGCGCTGCTGGAAGTCGACAGGGACGTCGTTGAGAGCCGGCTCGATGCGCACCAGCCAGGCCGACGCCGCGGTCAGGACGATGAAGATGGCGCCCACCAGGAAGTTGAGGGGCCGCGTGGATGGCGGCATGACTGCCGCTGCTGCTGTTGATTTGGCCATGGCGTGGCGTTGGCGGTTGGTTGTTGGGAGGGAATGTCTCTCTTAACTTGGCAGGTTGCCTGTGAGGTCTTTCTCGTAAGATTCTCGGGAGGATTCAGGGGTGCTTTGCTAGCGCCCATTGGCGCATCATGTCTGTGGAGATACCTAATTTGAGCTCTCCGGGTTTCCCGAGCATGAAGCCCTCCATAATTGTTTTGATATCTGCTTTTTTTGGCGGTCGCCCATCATCTCTTTCTATGTCTATCTAGTTATACGATGAGGGGAAAGGTAGTAGATATATGTGTAGTATACAAGTTTATACACTTCCTCGCTCTCCCCAGCCCAACACGCCGTGATTTGTAGCAATCCTACGCCGCCCTATCCAGCGACTGCCCCAGACACATCTCGTAGTACATCCCCCTCTCCTCCAGCAGCTCCTCGTGGGTGCCCGCCTCCACGATCCGGCCCCGCGAGAACACAAAGATGGCATCCGCGTTCCTGACCGTCGAAAGCCGATGCGCCACCGCGACGGTGGTTCGCGCCCTCCCCCCCGGGCCCCCCTCCGCCCTGGCCGCCGCGTCCAGCGCCGCCTGCACGGCCCTCTCGGATTCGGTGTCGAGGCTCGACGTCGCCTCGTCCAGCAGCAGCAGGCGCGGCCGCCGCGCCAGCGCCCGCGCGATCGCGATCCGCTGCCTCTGCCCGCCCGACAGCTGCACGCCCGCCGGCCCGCACGGCGTCGACAGGCCCTCGGGCAGCGACAGCACGAAGTCGGCGATGTTGGCCTGCCGGCACGCCTCCATGATCTCGTCGTCGTCGTCGTCGTCGTCGTCGGCGGCGGCGGCGCCCTCGTCGACGCCAAGAGCGATGTTCTCCCGGATGGAGCCCTGGTACAGCACGGGCTCCTGCTGCACGAGCGCGACGCCGCGCCTGTGCAGGCCGAGGTGCACCGACGCGGCGTCGGCACCGTCCACGGCGACGACGCCGCACGTCGGCTCGTAGAAACGCTCCAGCAGGCTGACCGCGGTGGTCTTGCCGCAGCCCGAGGCCCCGACGAGCGCGACGAACTGGCCCGGCCGGATCCGCGTGCTCACCCCCCTCAGGACCGGCACCCCGGGCCGCTGCGGGTAGTGGAACTCGACGTCCCGGAACTCCACCTCGGGCGCCGGCCGCCGCCGCCGGCTGCCGCCCTCGCCGTCCTCCCCGGCGGCGGTGGGAGGTACGTCGTCCCTCATCTCTCGGGGCACCGCGGCGCGCAGCCGGAAGATGTGGTTGGCCGCGCCGCGGGCCTTGGTGATGCTGGTCGAGTATTGGAACAGGATGGCGGCGGCCTCGCCCGAGAAGACGACGGCGATGAAGACGGTGTAGAACTGCGCGGCCGTGTACTCGCCGAACGAGATGAGGCGCCCGCCGTACCAGAACCCGAGGCCCATGCACAGGAACGATACGGACTGGCTCAGCGAGTACCAGAGCATGGTCCAGCCGAGCGCGGCGGCCGACGTCCCCGCGATGCGCCGCAGGCTCTCCTCGAACCGCCCGATGATGTCCCGCTCCAGCGCGAGCGACGACACCGTCCGCACGGCTGTGACCGCCTCGGACGCGATGCCCGCGCTGTCGGCGAAGCGTGAGGCCGTGTCGTCGTCGAGCTTGAACTCGAGCCGGATCCGCAGGTAGCCGGAGAACATGAGCAGGGGCAGCGCGCCGAAGACGAGGACTAGCCCCAGCTTCCAGCCGGTGACGATGGCCAGGATGCAGCTGGACATGACGTTGACGACGATGATGAGGATCAGGCCTACGTTCATGGACAGAAGCTCCTGCAGGTGGGTCGGCTCCGTGGACAGCCGGGATACCAACGCCCCCGTGGTGTTGCCGGGCCGGTCGAAGAACGACATGTCCTGGCGCATGATGCTGTTGAAGAGCTCGTGGCGGTACGACTGCATGATCTCCTGGGCAATCACGTTGCACACCCAGCCCAGCGCCGCGTATGCCACGAGGTTTGCAAGGGCGAGAACGAATAACATCAGGGAATAGAAGTCTCCTTGCTTGATCATCTCGGTCCCCGAGAGAGAGAAGGCGTCCATGACCCTGGAGAAGAGGATAGCCAAAACCGGATACGTAGCTCCTGGAGGTTTCGAAGTCAGTAAGTAGTTAACTGGTTGCATGTATGGGGGTCCGGCTATGCCAACCATCCGGAGTTGACTTACCGCCAACGATGCAACCGACGGCGAGAAGACCTGAGACACCCCAGAGACTCCTCTGCTCGCCTATTATAATCGCCAGACATTTCAGCAAGCTGTAGCTTATGGCGTTCTCGGGCGCTTCGGGGGCAGCGCCGGCTTCCCCCAGAGTTTCACGGACAGACAAGGTCTTGGACAGCGCAAGCTTCTCCTTCTCCTCCGCCTGGTCCAGGGCCGCCGACATGTCGTTCTCCTGCCCGAGGTCCTGCGCGCGCACGAGGCGGGAGTAGACGCCGCCTTGGGCGATGAGGTCGTCGTGGGCGCCCTGCTCGACCACGTCGCCGCGCGAGAGGACGACGATGTTGTCGGCGTCCCGGATCGTCGACAGGCGGTGCGCTATCACCACCATGGTCCGGCCGACGGCGACGTTGTTGAGCGCCCTCTGCACGACGCGCTCGGCGTTGGGGTCCAGCGCGCTGGTCGCCTCGTCCAGCAGGAGGACCCGCGGGTTGGATATGACGCTCCGCGCGATCGCGAGGCGCTGCTTCTGCCCGCCCGAGAGCGTTGCTCCCCGCTGTCCGACCTCGGTGTCGTAGCGCTAGTACGAATGAGCGTCGTTAGGGGAAGAGGGGCCAAGCATTTGACGGGGGTTGTTGCCATCCATACCTTTGGGAGTTTCTCAACAAATTCCTGGGCATAAGCTGCTCTGCAGGCCTCCTCTACAAGCTTCCGCTTCTCCTCGTCGGGAAGTTTTGCCATGGGAGTTCCCGCCAGGCCGTGTGCTACGTTCTGGAAGACAGTGCCGTTGAAGAGGACGGGTTCCTGCTGCACGAGGCGGATCCTGGTACGTAGCCACTGGATGTTATACTCGTCGACCTTCTTGCCATCGAGCGTGACACTGCCCTGCAGCGGCGAGAACCATCGCTCAAGCAGCCCCACGATGGTGCTTTTACCGGATCCGCTGGCGCCCACTATGGCAGTCGTCTTGTCAGCCGGCACCCGGAGACTGAGCCCCTTCAGCACCGGCACGTCGGGACGCGAAGGGTACGCAAAGGAGACGTCACGGAATTCGATGTCTCCACGACACTCGTTGGGTCGAAGCCCGTCGGTGGACAGGGAGTCGATGTTGGACCTGCGATCGATCATTCTGAATAGTTCATGTGCGGCGGCGGCGGCTTTGGAGATGGTCACGGTGTGAGGGGCCACCTGACTCAGGGCCTGGGCTGCAACAATAACCGCGAAGATGACACTATGGTCCAATCTCAGCGCATTGACATCCGACGACGGGGTTTGGGAATCCAACACTTACGTGACTACCTTCCCCGGTTCCGATATCTCTCCACTGTTGTACATCCTGAGGCCTTGCCAAAAGGCTAATCCGTAGCCGCTGTAGACGCAGAAGAACTCGACGGAGAACAAGACGGCGTAGTTGGGGGATTTCTTGTTGCCAATAACCCGCGCCTCGGCTAGGATCGCCCCGTACTTGCTCGAGAGCTTCGGGTACGCCCAGAAAGCATGGACTGTCCGGATGCTCGAGAACACCTCCTCGGCCAACTGTCCAGCCCTGGAGTAAATGGCCAGCATGCTGGTCTCCTGGATCGTGTCGATCGTCGAACAGACCACCGTAACGACCAGGATTGCAGGAACGATACAGATGGTTATGAGGGTCAATTTCCACTGCACTGCAAAGGCCACGGCGAAGGCGGCGAAGAAGGTCGAGATTGCTTGGATCGTCAGGCCAAGCTTCTCGGATATGCCCTGGTTGACGAGATTGCCGTTTGTTGTCACGGAACTGGAGACCGACCCAGCTTCAGAGGATTCGAAAAAGGCAACTTCCTGGCGCAGGGCTTGCCGAAGAAAGGCGACCCTCAGGTTTTTGGTCGTCCGGATGGCATTGGTCGAAATCAAAAGCTGGGGAGGGAGTTGATGTGAGCTGAAGCAGCCAGATGTTGTTCAACCGGTTTTCGACTTACAGTCCAAGCATATGTGAGGGCAAACTTGGCCAGGAACAGATACACAAACCATAGACTTCATTTGGATACACACGGTTAGAGATAGAACCTCGACTCAGATATCGTGCCGGCCGGTGAAGACTTACGTATACTTGTTGACGTCGGAGCGATAGTCCTCCGGGCTGCTGGCTCCGATCGTGAAGTTGTTAAACACTGTGACAAAGTTTCCAAATATGAGGTCCATAAGAGGCAGTAGAGCCCCGGCAGCAATCATGCAAATGAAGGCAGCCGAGTTCAGGAGCCAGCCGATTCGGTCGCTGTATGTGAAGACCCGCTATCATCGTGGTTAGCCGTCCTGTTGGTGAGGGCAAAGCCAGCCAGACGGGCGGAATTAACTAACCAAATAGCTCCTGAAAGCAGAACTGTTCTGCTTTCCCGCATCTTTTCCATCATGGGCCGGCAGCGTACAAGAGTCTTTCTCTGCATCAGAGCCATCGGTGAGCTGGTTTGAGTGGTTCGTTCCCTGCAACATTATGCGGGGCACGGTCACACGAAAGAGTAGGCGAGGAATAGCCAACTGTACTGTTTCGGGCTAAGGACATTATGCAGGATTGGCTACTCCTTGATTTTATATCTATATGGCCCAGCACATCAAGAGCGCAAGAGAGGCTCTCTCCAGCAACTTTCACACGGCCCGTGCGTTGGCCGAGGAGTCTTGGCGCGGCGTCCGCGGGCGCCGAGTGCGAATGACTCCGCCGCTGACGCGTGCCATGTCTCCACTCCGGCAGGATTCGTGACCCTTGTGTTTTGGGTTCCGGGAGCCCCGTCTGGCCCCACAGCTGACGTACTCCGGGGGTTCAAGGCTTCCAGCCCTCTGTCTGGGATTGGCATCTGCACTCCTTCTTCCTCCTGTCACTCAAATAAATCTGCATGTAACTGCCACAGGAACAGACTCAAAAAGCACAGGGAGGGCCGGCAGAGGGATAAATAGGATTGAACGGGGCAGACTCGATCCCATGGATGAGCCCAGTGAAGTCGGAGATAGTGGAGCCCGGCGAGCTGTAAGTCCACTGTCTTGGCCTCAAGTATGAACTGTGAAGTATGAACTGAATATCGACCCCTTTTTTAGTGTGACCAGTGCCGCATAAGGAAGGCAAGCAAGATCATCTAGCGTAGTGCAGCCAACGCAATATAGCGTAGGGCTCCTCCTTCGCATTGGCTGGATCTGCTAATGCGAGAGTGCGCTTCCTCAGATCCGATGCGATAAAGAGTTTCCCTGCTCAAACTGCCGGACGGCCCATCGCTCATGCAGCTCCGCGGGCGCCGGCCACAAAACCCGAGAGGCCCGGCAGAGGGTCCTAATCTCCGCCCAATAGTGAGGCTTTCCATGACCCGAGCTGACTATGTGACCCGAGCTCACAAGTTGCCCGCCCAGCGAGAGGAAGATTGACCACTTCGAGGAGCGACTGAGGGGCATAGAGGACCTCCTCAGAAAGCTCTCTGCCTCCCTTGACAACCGGCCGTCCGAGCTCCCGCGCCACACGCACCACACGCACCGCATTTTCGAGCCCAGCGATGCCACGGCCATCACCCCCTCGGCCATCGGCGACGGTTCGAGCACCGCCTACGATGAGGACCGCGACGAGCTCGACTCGACCTTCGAGGGGACCTCGTCGCTCACGGTCCAAACCGCGCTAGCGAGCGAGTTCCTCGAGGACGCAGTTGGGAGGACGTCGCTGAGGGAGCTGAGTCCCGAGATGAAGTCTGCCCTCTCGTCGCTGCAGCAAATTGTAGGGATGCAGCAACAGAAGCCCTCGGCCGAGTGGGCGAGGTTTCCAAATCAAAAATCCATGCCCAGGGGCGGCATCAAAGAACTCCCCATGCCTCCCCTGCAGGTGGTGCTTTCGATTCTACGGGAGATGAAAGGTATAATACCGACCCGCCTGTCCCTCCGTTTCTGGCCCGAGATTGAACACAACCCGACGCTGGCTACTGACCATTCGCAGAGGAGCCGCCCTTGACCTACTGCATGGTCAGCGCCTTCATCACGACCGAAGACTTTACAAAATACTGCCGACAGGTCTACTTCGCCACGGAGGACTTCAGCCTCGTCACCTTTATCATCGTCAATGGCGGGCTGTACTATCTCCTCCTGGAGAAGCATATCCTGGAGGAGGACGAGACCGCCGCCGCCGAGTTTCTCAGCTACCAGCACCTCTGCCAAGACAACTTGAAGACGGCCCTGGCAAACCTCCCCCTATTCCTGCCAGCGAGGATTGATAGCATCCAAGCTCTCCTCCTCGGGGTGCGTGCTTCCTCCCCCTCCCCCAAACCCCTACTCATTCGCTTGACACACAAGCCAACCCCGCTCGAGCTTAACAAACTAACCCTACTTTCCCCATCAACGCAGGCAAGCTACGCCATCGAGGTATCCAAGCCCTCCCTAGCCTGGCGGCTCAACTCGACAGCCGCCCAGCTCTGCATGACGCTAGGCTACCACCGACAGCCGCCCAGCGGCGCGACAGCCGACGAAGACGCCGCCGCCAACAAGCCGGCCCTGTTCTGGTTCGCCTACATGCTCGACCGCGGCCTCGCGCTGCGCCTCGGCCGCGCCTCGGCCATCCAGGACTACGACATCACCCGCCCGCGCACCATGGGCCACCGCACCGGCATGCCCGACCAGTGGCGCGAGGCCATGGACCTGTGGATCGCCCACGCAGAGGTCCAGGGCCTCGCCTACGAGCAGCTCTACAGCCCCGCCGCCCTGGCCGGCCCGCCCGCCCGCCGCGCCGAGTGCGCCCGCCTGCTGGCCCGGCGCCTGGAGGACATCGCCGACCGCGGGGCGGCCCTGCGCGGGGGCGTCGCGGGCACCTCGGGCTCCGGTTCCGGCAGGGGGGGCCCCGAGCAGCTCGGCGTCATCGGCGCCATGACCATCGCCGTGCTGCTCAAGTCGGACGAGGTGCTGGTGCGGTCGTCCCTGGCGCTGGTGTACCGCGCCGTGCCCGCGCCGCCGGGCCTACCGAGCAGCCTCAGCGCTGAGTGCGTCGAGGAGGCGAGGGAGGCGTTCCGGTCACATCAGGAGGTCATGGAGTTGACGGCTTCGAGCACGGTCATGAAGAATACGTATCTGCATTGGTAAGGAGAGGCTTCCTTCTTGCTAGCTAACTTTGCACTCCCTTCCCGTGGGGGGGGGGGGGGGGGGGGGGGGGGGCGGGGGGGGGGGGGGGGGGGGGGGGGGGGGGCGGGCGCGGGGGGGGGCGGGGGGGGGGGCGC